CTCCTTATACTGCAAAAAATAATTTGTATGTTGCTTTTTCTCCTTCCTATCTCTACAGTGAGACGTCTACTGTAAAAGATTGGTTTCGTTCAGGACTTGACCCAGACTGGAACTAGAAAGAGAAAAGTCCTGACTCTTCTACCTCCTAAACCTGGACCATTAGTTGTCTCCAGTTCAATTACGCTTATATTTTATTTTGGCTTTAATTACTTCCTCCCTCCTTTCTCCAATCTTTTTTCAGTCCTTCAAGACATCTTCGCTTTTGAGACTTTCATTCAAGAGAGGCTGAGAGGAGGAGCACTCGATTTTCTTCCTTGATTTGAATATATCAGATCCATCATTAGGGATATATATTCCCAAATTTGCATTTCCCAAATTAGCTTATATTATTATGGCATACAATTCTCACTTAACTTATAAAATACAGTGATGTGTAACTGAAAATTTAGAAGTCCCGGTAGACTATAATAACAGTTACTCAGCAGGTGACCATGGGCAGCAAACTTGTCCAGTGAGGTTCACCCGCATGCGTAACTCTTAAGGGATGCAATGGACCCTTGGGGACTTTCTGAAACGTTAGAAACTAACAAAGGTTGACCCTGGAAATGCCAAGAAGCTTGGAATTTTCTCGAATTTTTTTCAGGAAGGTTGCCTAAGGACTGTTAATGGTAGAGGAGGTGAACTAGCAATTAGTTTTCTCAGCTCCTTTCGTCTAAGGGTAGGGAAAAAAACAATCCCCGGGGACGTCACTATCTCCGCACTGAATCTGTTTGCAGGAATTGCGATTTATCTGTGTGGGTGGTTCCCGCTCTTGCTTTACCTGATCAGGTTTTTAAATTCCTTGAAGGTAAAGAATGTATGTTCATTCCCAAGATAACTAGGGAGTTAGGCAACAACAGTGATTGTCATTTAGAAATTTTTCTAAACTATTTCTTATTTTATACAACATTTGACTTTGTCCTTTCTATCAGAAAATTCTATTTAAAATACGTAGAATATTTTATTAGGGTGGGCAGATTAGAGGTGATGTAAAAATTGCTGTTCACATAAAAAAATATAAAGTCTTGAGAAATCAATAGAGTAAACTTAAGAGCATGTTGGATTCCTTCCTCCTCCTCCCTTCAAATGTCTACTTCTTTTCTCTTTATGGTAAAGTTCACTTAAGATTGAGAGTGGGCTTTGAATACAAAGAAGGGGGAGGGGAGGATGAAACAGAATATAATAGTAAGCTCCAATAATAGCTCACATATATGGAGAACATGCATCCTTAATCTTCTTCAGAACCTTAGGATGTTTCTCAGTGACCTGATGGGGACAATGAGGCTTAAAGAGACAAAATGACCTGTGAGCGAGTTGGAAAAGGAGGGAGTAAGTCTAGGTCCAGCTCACTCCAATGCCCACATGCCTAACTATACTCTCATGGTCTCTCAGGAAGAACAAAACCAAAGTAAGGAACAACTAGAGAAGAGAGAAAGCCAAAGAAGGTGGGAGAAAGGTAGCCAGCTTGAGTGGCCTAGAACCAACTTTCTAATTTCGGGAGTGTCAACCTCGCACCCCATATGGGTGGAAGGTTCTCTCATATTGAAAGAGTCTGAGAGGTTGGCTGTGGGAGCTGACATGGGGTATATCCAACCTGGTTTTTTCTGTCACCCATTGTCCCTTTTCACTGTGAAGAAATGAGACCTGTCACACTTATTACAACAATTATCACTATGACAAAAAACATTTGAATCCCCCATTTTAACAGTATTTAACAGAATTTACTACTATTTAATAGAAACAGTACTTCTCGTGTGCACATCTTGCAAAAGTCCTGAACACCACAAGCATTTGAAGAGTAATTTGGAATTCAGAGAGGAAGGATTTGGGCCAGGTTAATGTTTTATTGGGGTGGTAGGTCAGAGGTGCATGAGATTTCAAAGTAAAGAAAGAGAGAAGCTGCCTGAGCCTGATGGGCCCTTGGTGGAGTTTCCATGTCCCTTTCCCCGCTTTGCCCATTCAGGAATGCAATTTTGGTAGTTTTCCCATGAGTGTTCAACCATTTGGAAAGTAATTCACAGTGACCAAGTATATGATTCATGCATTTCAATGAGCATTTGCTGAAGATCTTTTGAGCTGGATATTCTTTGCAGCCTCCAGAACTTCTGCCCCATCTCCACTTGCTCTGTCCCCAGGGGCTGACTTTTATGAACCGTGCCAACCCTCTGGCTTTCCTTGTGTTCAATTAGTAAAAGGTACCAGCAGGAGAGGGGAGGGCAGGAGAGTAAAGTAGGATTCTTCATTCCCTAAGCTAGGGACATGCAAACTATGATGCTCAGTCCATATCTGGCCTGCAGTTTGTTTTTATAAATAAAGTTTTATGCCACACAGCCATGTCCATCCATGGAAGTGTTGTCTACGGTTGCTGTTACACTCCAAATGGCAGAAAAGGGTAATTTGTGACAGAGACCTTATGGCCTGCAAGGCCTAAAATATTCATTTTCTGGCCCTTTACAGAAAAAAGTTTGTTGACCCCTGCCTTACGTGGCTTTCTCTTTGGGTGGGGTCATTGATTACTTAGGCAGCTCCATCCCTTCCAAAAGCCAGCATTGTTAGGTGGCACTCTGTATAGCTTCAGCTACACCACAGCTAGAACTCTGAGTTCTGATAACCTTCTCTTCCCCTGGCCCTGTTAAGGCCTACAGTAGTTGTCACTGTTGCTAGTCTGAGGGTGCATCACCATCTTTTATTGCCTTCCTTTATCCCTGCACACAGCTAATCCCTTCAAGTCTCCTAATTTACCAGTTGGATTGTGCCATCTGTTTCCTTCTGAGACGCTGACTGGCCTCTTACATGCGTAGCATTGTTTTAGAAGTAATGGGAAAAAAAAGAGAGTAAGACCAAATATATATGCTTGCTTTTTTTTTTTTTTTTTTTAGGCACAGCCACATTCTTTTTTTAAATTTTTTTTTGAAGATTGGCAGCTGAGTTAACAACTGTTGCCAATCTTCTTCTTTTTTTTTCTTCCCAAAGCCCCCCCAGTACATAGTTGTGTATTCTAGCTGTGAGTGCCTCTGGTTGTGCTATGTGGGATGCCGCCTCAGCATGGCCTTCTGAGTGGTGCCATGTCCGTGTCCAGGATCCAAACTGGTGAAACCCTGGGCTGGTGAAACCCTGGGCCACTGAAACAGAATGTGTGAATTAAACCACTTGGCCATGGGGCCAGCCTCCTATACTTAATTCCGTTAAGCTTTTTATGATCTGATAGTGATGACAGGTGAGGGATGGAGATAAGATAAATACAGAAAACTATTATATAAGGAAAGACTGTGGTGAGTACAACAGGAAAGGTAGATACATATGAGAGAAGGGAGAGAGCTTAGCTGGTTGGAGTATTCAGGGAAAGCTTCATTGATAAAGTGGCATTTGAGCTGAACCCTAAAGAATGGGTTAGTTTTAGAGAGGTGGACATTTTTGTAAATGAGAATGACAGATAACTGGCCAATATGAGATATTTGAGGAAAAATCGATAATAATTGCCAGTTTCTTTATCTAGACACTTGGCAGAGCACTTTGGACATCATCTCATTTTTATCCTCACAATGACTCCACGAAGTAGTTCCTATTATTATCCTATTAACAGATAATGGAGCCTAGGCTTTTTTCGAAAACTTAGTAACTTGCCCATGATTTAGACCTTGAGGGGGAATAGTAAGGATTCTGATCCAGGCTCTTAATCCTTAGAGAGAGAGCAAAGCACAGCTTGTGTTTCAGTGTTGGCTTCAGGCTAGTTCTGCTGTAGAAATAAAGCTGAGATGGCTGATTTGGGCCATATCTTGAAGCAACTCACACATTGTGTGAAGGACTTTGGATAATGTTCTACGAATAGTGTGTAGCCCCAGAAGCTTTTTGCCTGGGCCAGTGAGTTGATCAGAGTTGTGTGTTTAAAGCAATATGGTCTAGGTCGGGTCAAAAAGGGGTTTGAATGAGAGTAATAGAGGGATTCTAAAGGATAGAATCAACACCTTGGGTAAGGTTGACAGGCCAGAAGAAGAACTGAAGCAAATTTGTTGTTTCAGCCCTGGCTAGGTGGTGATTAGGAAGTTGGTGATATCAAGAACAAAGCTGGGAAACACAGCAAGAAGGGAAGGCTATAGAGGAATGACTAGGAATACGATTTTGGATATGTGGAGTTAAAGAGACAGAGGAAAATCCCAACATCCAGAGAAGATTCTAATTTTCTCTGCATTTGGAGATGTGAGTGGAGTTTATAAGAATGTTCTAGGCTCTAGATTGTTGACATGAGAATTTAATAGTAAACACGTTTGTGGCAGATATGAGAAAAGTGTAACTGTCGGAGAAGTTATAAAAACAGGAGAAGATAACCCTCTGGCCATTGACTCCCTAGGACCACAGAGGGGCTTCAGGCATTTTGTTAGCCTGTAGTACTGAGGCTAAGTCTTTATGAAATGCGTTTATCCCTGTCCCTCTAAAGCCGCTCAGTTAGGACTTTTAAAGCACATTGGACTTTGTCATATGCACATGGATTCTTCACGTTCATTGGATGTGGATGCACTACACTTAATTTCTCAGTCTCAGTTGCTGTATTCTAAAACTCAGCTTTGCTGGATTCTAAGAACTGTCTGGCTTCACAGGCTTGTTACGAAGCTGTGAAAATGCTTTGAAAACTGCATATAGCTGAACAAACGTGATCTACCCGAACTCGTAACTTTTTTTCCAGGGGGTACACACATCTATTTAGCGTGCAACTCTCGGACTCTTTTCACCCTTCTCCGTCTCCGCCTGTCCTCTGCTATGGACGGTTACAAACTTGGTCAATAACTGTCCTGGAAAGACGTAACGCCCCCAGCTGATGACGCAAGTCGGAGATCTTAAAGGAGAAGGGTTTTCCGGCAGGAGCCGGGGCAGGGGCGGGGCATGACCTAGGAGCTGGCAGTGCCGCCGATTGGCGGAGGAGAAGGTTGTTCCCTCAGGGCGGCCGCTGATTGGCTGCGGGAGGGAGAGGCGTGACGTGCTCACAAGTTGAGCAAACACCCCTCCCCTGAAGCCCATCCCAATTTCTGCTGGGAGTTCGGAGCCTGAGCTGCCCGGACGCGGGAGCTCGGAGAGGGCGGGACAGGTGGGCGCCCCAGAGAGGACGAGGTGAGGAGGGGTGCTCGGTGAGGGCTGAGCAGGCGTGCGGGGCACCTAGCTTGCGACGTGCGCTTGGACTGGCCGGCGGGACTCCGCGGTCCGCCGAGGGGTGGGCGAGCTCGGCCTCCTGCTCCCTGCGCCCCAGCGACCCGACTCGGGACCCCGGCCGTTGCCGGGACGAGCAAGGGCGTTGGGGCCTCGCTGCCGGGCCTCCCCTCCGAGGGAAGGAGGGCAGCCGGCTCAGCTTGGGAATTTCTTAGGAAAGGGAAGGGATGGCATTTGGATTTCTTTTCTTTTTTTGGTGTGTGTGGGGGGCGGTGCGGTTGTTGGGGAGTCAAGGGTTGGTGCTGAAGCTGGAGAACGAGCACCCTGTTAATTCTTGGACTGCACGCTTCTTTAGGATGCCTGGCTGCGGGGGGTGGTTGATGGAGGTTGTGGGGACAACCCCCCCTCCCCAGCTTTCTTTCTGCGCCGTTGCCGTTGACCTTTCCAACTCTGGCCTGCGTAGCCAAACTGATCACAAAACTTCTCACTCTGGCCATCTCGGGCTGGCCATTCTCTCTGAGATAGAGACCACCGCCTCCATCCCCCGTCGTCCCCCCGCCCCCCAGCTAGCTGTTGCTCCTTGTCTACGCTCTAACAGAGAGAGGAGGCGTGAGAAAGCTGGGCGCCCGGGACGGCAGCGTCTCCTGAATCCCCGAGACCCTGCAGGGGTTGTGCCGGCCAGTGTGAGCGCTTGAGCTGGGAGGGGACGCGGGTAGCAGCAGTTTCTCGCTTACTCTGGTTGACTGAACGGGGCCAAATGTCCTGACAACTTCCAGAAGAGATGTGCTTTTTAGACTCTCATTTTAGGGGAGTGAAGTGCGGTGGGGCGTGGGAAGAGGGAGGGAGAGAGAGTGTTCCCCAACCTGAAAGAAAGATGAACATTTTTTGATATTGTGGCTCATCAGTTATCGGAATGTGGAGATGTAGTTGTGATTATGCCGATGTAACTATACAAGGACAGAGGATCATTGACTCGGGCAGTGGCTTTCGCATACTTTATAATAGTAAAAAAAAAAAACCAAAAAAAAACACACCGGTAGCACCATGTGTGGGTGCCTCTGTGTCTCTGTGTGTGTGTATTCTGCATATGTTTGTCGCTTGTACTCCCCTCCCCGTTTTTCCCCCTTGAAGATGAGTAAACTTGGGGCTACACCTTCTGGCAACGTAAACTGGTGGCCATTCTGCAAAGTGGGTTAGGAGGACAAAGGTTTAAGCCAACTTACCCAAGTACTTTCCTACTCTCCAGAACATTCTTTATTTATTTTATTTAATTGATTAATGAATTATTTTGAGGAAGATTAGCCCTGAGCTAACTACTGCCAATCTTCATCTTTTTGCTGAGGAAGACTGGCCCCGAGCTAATATCCATGCCCATCTTCCTCTATTTTATACCTGGGACACCTACCACAGCATGGCTTTTGCCAAGTGGTGCCATGTCCCCGGGGATCCCAACCAGCAAACCCCGGGCTGCTGAGAAGCAGAATGTGCGAACTTAACCGCTGTGCCACCCGGCCGGCCCCTGGAACATTCTACTTGTTATCAATCTCCCTTGTTATTGGTGAAAGCATCATCAGAACTTTAATTTGATTTATTTGCAATTGAAATTTTTCTCCCTAACTAACTAGTCCTTTATTTAAGCCTTAATAGACCTTGGCTCAGGATTTTGGAAGTGATCTTTGGTGTGTAGGCTGTGCCCATTTAACAAAAAAGTTTTCATTTTTCCAAATATTCTTGTATTAATTTTCTCATAGAAATAACATAAACAGTGGCAAGTTTTCTTGGTGAGGCCACAGAAAATTCTATGGAATTCATGGAATCACAGAAACCCTATACATTTGGTATGAGAAATAACCAACAACATTATTATCATATTCATCAAATCTAAGATGCTATCAATTTTAAGATGCATCCCTATTCAGGGATGGTAAAATGTGAAAAAAATGTCTCTTAAATTTGATGAAATACAAGATTAAATAGAGGGCTCATTGGACTCCATTTTTTTCTCCTGAAAAATACAAGCAAAGAGGGGAGAGAGAGGTAAGGCCATTGTGAAGGCCTTACCACAGTGTGACAAAGAGCAAGGGAGAGTAGTGTCTTCTGAGTGGTGTGCTTGTGCTCACCTTCAAGGAGAGGGCAGGCTTGGAGTCTTTTTCTTACCCTTTATTGAGTGTTCACAGCATGCAAGGCAATGTTCAGCACTTCATGCACATTAGCTCAGATAAACTTCACAACAGCCCTGAGAGGTAGACATTAATATGACTCCATTTTGCGGATGAGGCACAGATAGGTTAAGTTATATATCAATGTCACAGAGTGAGTGGAGAGCCAAGCAACCCAGGCTATTTGTGGAGGAGAGCCAAGGTGCCTTTGAGGCATCCCTCTCCTGTTGGAAGCTCTGGGCTCCCAGTCACTGCAGTTAATGGAGGTACCTAGATGAATGTCTTATCTTCCTTAGTGTTTTTGGTGTTTGGTTTCCCTGTTTAGTGTACTTTAGCTGGATCTTCTTCAGTGAGAGTACGTATTTATGTTTTAAAATTCTAATGCTTTTGTAATCCCTAGTGCCCAGTCAGTACCATGCTTAATAGAAGCAGGATATTAGAACTAAAAGGGACTCCAGGATTATATTCCAGTCTGGATGAGGAAACTGAGAAGGAACCCCAAAGCTAGTTAAATGTCTCAGCTCCCAGGTCTGGATTTTCCTACGTATTATGTTGCATTTCATAACATTCACTGGTCATGAGATCTTGGCAGAGAATAGATCTTTTGTGAGGTGTTGTGGTGGTCGGGGAGGGGGGATGTAAGTCCCCATTCTTATCGTGTCTATTTTTTTTTTCTCTGATGCATAGGTCTTTATGACGTGCATTTAAATTTGCTCTTTTATTCATTCATTCTTCCTTAAAACGTTTGAGTTCTCCTTTGCGCCAGTAACAGAGATGAATAAAATACAATTCATTCCCTCAAAGTGTTTACAGTTCAGCAAAGAGACAGACAAATAAGCAGATAAACGTTTTGGATTAGACTTCAATTCAGAACTAACTTTGCGTTCCATCTCAATGAAACTAAATTTGTGGGCTAGAGACCGGGAGAGTCAGGGGTCTTGTATCTTTGGATGACTTTGAGTAGGTGATGGGCTTGGGAACATATGAATATTCTCAGACCAGATTAATTAATACTATTAGACTACCCCCCCCCCCCCCCCACCCCTCATAAGTCTACTTGTTTTTTAAACTTCTGGCTGGCAATTTTATAAGCGGTTTAACGTGGAAGCATTAAAAGAAGGTACCTATGCAACCGGAAGTGGAAGTGTGGAGTATTGCTGCACGTACAAGCCTAATTCTAACAAGCCTAGGGTTGGGAGGTATTTGGATTAGTTCTAGGCCATCACCGGATGTTCTATTAATTTGGAACTCTTTTGGACCTCTCTAGGATTATTATGGTCTGGATAAGAAACACGTAGTGTGAACCAAGACTCACAGCCACGGAATGGCCCACCCTTATTTACAGTATCAGGGCTTCGTGGGAAACAATGGCTTTTTAAATACACTTGCATTTCTGGAATGAATTGGAAGGGTAGATATAAATCATTTGCATTTCTCATCTATTACTTTATTTCCTTCAACTCAAGGCTACTCTATCCTTAATCTCTCAATATTTAGTTAAGATGAATGCCTGATTATTAGAAATAACTCAGCATTGAGAAATCTCCCCATGTGATTTGATGGTTTTAGAGTCACTGAATTATGTTCTAGTGGCATTATTTTAAAGATCTAAAATATAAAGACAGGGGCTGGCCCTGTGGCCGAGTGGTTAAGTTCGCACGCTCCGCTACAGGCGGCCCAGTGTTTCGTTGGTTCGAATCCTGGGCGCGGACATGGCACCGCTCATCAAACCACGCTGAGGCACCATCCCACATGCCACAACTAGAAGGACCCACAACAAAGAATATACAACTATGTACAGGGGGGCTTTTGGAAGAAAAAGGAAAAAAAAAATAAAATCTTTAAAAAAAAATATAAAGACAAAGAGCACATCTGTGACTACGGGAGCTAGAGATGGAAGATTTGGCCTTAATTTCTTCAGTAATGAATTTCTAATTTTTTTTGTTGAAAGATTGGCCCTGAGCCAATCTGTTGCCAGTCTTCCTCTTTTTTTTTCCCCTCTCCAAAGCCCCCCAGTACATAGTCGTATGTTCTAGTTGTGAGTGCCTCTGGTACTGTGTGGGACGCTGCCTCAGCCTGGCCTGATGAGCGGTGCCATGTCCGCACCCAGGATCTGAACCAGCAAAACCCTGGGCCGCCCAAGCGGAGTGCGCAAACTTAACCACTTGGCCATGGGGCTGGCCCCTGAATTTGTAATTTTTTATATATGTCCCGGTGGAAGCAACAGAAATTAGGAGGAGCCAAGCCTAGCCCTTTTTGTACTTAAGCTCTTGTATTTGCTTGCATGTTGTTCTGGTTTGGGTAGGTGGTCTTTGAGTTTAAAAAGTTTTCTGATTAGGTTGATGCTATGGAAAGGATTGAAGAGACTTAAAGAATTTTTGAATATTTGATAGAAGAATAAACAGCTCTGTGTAGACCTCAGCTCTCTTCATCCACCTACCACTCTTACTCATGAAAACCTGCACAAATCAAATACATTTTTTTATGGCATAAGTACTACCTGAACAATAGCAGGTAAATATAACCTAATCCAGTTACACTGAAGAGTTATGCCAGAACAGCTGACTGTTTTATTACGATTAATCCATAGAGGCTTGGGAAATGCTTTTTATGAAGCATGGAACATCCCTTATTTCCATGGGCCTCACTACCCTGTCTGTATTATCAGGTCCATTCTGACTCTAATATTCAGTTATAATCAGTAATTGATAATTCACCATCAGATTTTGATTGGGGCCACTTAGATGAAGCTGTCCCATCTTGCTCCTGTTGGATCCCATGACAGTGAGCAAGGACTGGATTGCTGCTTCTTTACAAGTATCTAACATCATGTTCTAACACCTTAAGTACCCACAAAGTATTTTTTTGAATTAAAAAGAGAAAATTAAAATATCTCTCCCATAATTAATGATGATCAATCAAAATGATAATGTAGGTTCTATTATATTTTTGTTTAAAAATTAGAAAATATTCATTCTAGAAGCAAATTATTAGCTTCTACTATATTAATATATGTAATTGTATAAAAGACCAGTCTGCTCACCATTTGAAAGGACCTTCACAGCTGCATCTGAGGTCCTCTGCCCTTGAGAGTGTCTTTTCTTCAGATATAATCTTTTATAAATACACCTCTCAAAATCGTCTTTGGTTCCTTTATGTGATTTAGGTTGATGATGTACTCAATGACTATGGTTTATTTCATGGTCACTGAAAGAAAATGGTGGGATATGTGTCTAGTGCCAAGCTCAGTTGTTCTGTCTGTCTGTCTCTCTCTCTCTAATGACCGTTTACCTTCTCATTTCTCTTGAAAAGGATAGAAAATACAAAGAGCATTTAAGCATTTTTCTTGCCCCCTATTCTCATGTGTACATTGCAGTGATAAGATAATTTTTAAATCAAAAGAACTTTGTAGGTCTTCCCCAGATTGAAGGATGGAATGAGAGGTGAGGTGGTATCATATAGTCCGCTGTATTGTGAGACTCTGTTGCTAGAGTTCGTCCACTGGCTGTCCTCCAATCTCAGTGCCTGGCTGTGCAATTCACTATGGTGCTCCCATAACTTTTAGAGATATTTCAAATTCCTAATCAACCCCAGGTAGGTAAAAATGTATACCTTAGTGCTGTTCTTGTTTTACAAAAACATAGAGAAGAATCTTTTAAATTTCATTTTTATGCTCTTTGCAACTTTGGCCCTTCGTGTGTTGAAGGGAAGACTTTGAAATTGTCAGGGGAAAGGTCTTGTTCCCCCGCCCCCTGACCATGAGAAGCTTCTCTTTCTCCCCTTTACTCCTCTTCTCCTCTTCCTCCTCCTTATTCTCCTTAGTTCTTTGTTTTCCTTCACCTCTCCTCCTCTGGCTTTTCCACATCCTGCTTCCTTGTGTTCCAGGCTTCATCAGCATCGGCACTGTCAAGTAACCTCACTAGAACCAGAGTGTAAACCAGGGGTCTTCCTGCTCTGTGTCACTGAAGGCATTGCCAGAAATGTACATCACGTTTACTTCCTGATGTTCTAGAGAAAGCCCACAAAATCTAGGGCAGGGAAATTGAGAACAGCCCACTTGGGCATTTCCATGAACTACCACCAGACACTTGCAGTGCCCTACCTAAGAGCAATTCAGAATCCTTACTGTTACTTATTTCTTGGTAACCTTAGAATGAAATGAATAATGGGGCCTGGAAAATTCTATGCTGAGACCAAGTTTCATGGTTCAGGTGGTTGCTGACATCATCATACCTGCTATAATCAAATCTTTTTCTAACCACCCAGAAACTTAGATTTACCTTGGCAGGGACACAGGAAAGATTTTTGGTGGCACATAGGAAAGCGATGGATAGAGGCACCGCCCATGCTGAGAGGAGAACTAATCATTTACTACAGCTATTAAAGTTGCTGTCCTATGCATCTGCAGGCTTTGGCAATGAAAAGAAAATCCCAAGTGTTACATATTAAGCTAGGACTCCTGCTTCTGCTTAAAAGCAAGAAATCTAGTCAGACTCCAGTTCCTTCAACTGTAAAATGAGGATAACAGCATTTACTTAATAAGATTTTACAAGGACTAGATGAAATAACATCTGTAAAGTGCTCGGCATAGTGCTTGGCATGTAATGTTAAATCAGCAGTAACTATTACTACATTTGTTTAAAAACAAAGGTACAGGAATTATGATTTAAGAATTCCCTACAAAATGTGAAAGTGAAACAACTTCCCAAATAAACTCCAGAAGGTCAGCCCCTGTCACTTTCCTTTCCTAGTTCCCATAGAAAGCCTGCCTTTGCAAATATGTGTATGTGTATTACATGTGTGCATGTGTCTGTATCTCTCCTCTCACACCGAACTCCCCACCCCAGATGAAGCAGGTGGCCAGGAGGGAGAGGGAGGTGACTGAGTGACAGGAGGCTGTGATCATAAATCAAGTTTGGACTGAGGGGAGAGATTAAATTACCTCACTGTTCCCTCATGTTAGTGCCAAGAATTGCTACTAAGAATAAAGGCTGTAAGGTCATTTGGTCGCGTATGGCATGTGAAACACAGCCCCTGCTGGGAAGATGGGTCCATTTCTGGGCTGATCAGTGTGTTCAAACGAATCACTTGTCTTTGAAATGGGTTTTCCTTAAGAACATAGGGATTCAAGTTCAATGAGACGTTGCAGCTTTTCCTTTGGCTTGGGGGAGAATAAATGCTATGGGCTTGGGCTTGTGTTTGGACCTAATGTCGTCTCTTTTAAAAACAAAACTATGTAAATAAACCCCAAATTGGAGATAGTATATACCAATCTTTCACTGAACTCTTGAATATTGGTATTTTGTCTGAGTCATCATCGGCGGCTCACTTGCGGTGTGCAGTGTCATCTCTTCCTGCCTTTCTTCTTCCTAAAGCCTTCTTAGCTGGACTCCTTGCTGTTGTCTTTATTCTTTTAGTCTGTTGTGTTGTGAGCTGACCTATACATTTTTTATCTCGGGTGGCAAGGAGTTGTTTGCCTCCAGGAACGTACTTGTATGCTCCAGTGTTTGAACAAAACTTCCCCATCTGTAAGATGGGTCTGATTGAGAGTTTGCAGTCTGATGTAACATAAATGTGTTCCATAAGAATTTGCTATATGTTAGCAGTAATTGGTTGGAAATTTCTAGAAGATGTGAAATCATTTGGTCCTTACAGTGTTTTTTTTTTTTGTAAGGATCATTGGCCCTGAGCTAACATCTGTTGTCAGTCTTCCTCTATTTTGTATGTGGGATGCTACCACAGAATGGCTTGATGAGCGGTGTGTGGGTCCACACCCAGGATCCAAATCGGCAAACCCTGGGCTAAGTGCAGGAACTTAACCACCACACCACTGGGCCAGCCCCATCCCTATAGTATTTTGATACCAATCTTAAACATAGAAAACTAAGATTTAGAATCCAATATGATCATCCAAATGATCCAACAAGTTATCATCTGAAATGGTATTTGACTACTAAATGTGTGTAACCATCTGAAGAGGGAAAGAATACTGTTTGGTATTTATGCTTTAACAATTTGTATAAAGTTTGCTGTATGTGGATGCATAGTAAACCTCTTGTACACATTTCTTGATTAAATAAAAGAATGAAATTATGCAATCTGGAATAGCAGTTAGAAAACTGATGAAGACAATTCTGGGTTTAAAGTAATAGCAAAAGGATGTGGTAAGGAGAGAGAACCCTGGAACAGCACTTTTGGAGGAACAAGAGGGTCAGTGAAGGTGGGGCTGAGGGTCTCAGGTTGGGAAGGGGGAGTCAGAGCTGCTCTTCTTAAACTTCTAGCACCTGTGGTGGAGGAACATGTTTGTTTGTTTTGTTTTCTTAAATTTCCAATCTGCCGAGACCGATACTTTTATAAAATTCAATAACAAAGAATTGCTAGAAAAATGATCATGTGATATAAAGGTTTCTAAGTGCTTACCTTCTATTTCTGTACATATCTTACCGCAGACCAGTAAAAAGCAATTCACTGATGGACAACAGGCTGCAAAACAGACTGAGTGGCACGAGTTTAGGGAACGGTCAGAGGTGAAACTTGAGAGAGGTTGGAGCTAGATTGTCAAGAATCTTGTGCACAATTAAAGGATTCCAAACTTTATGCCATCAATATTGGCATCCATTATCTTCCTGTATTTGTGTTGTAGGTTGACTTGCTGAAAACTTCTGTGTGGAATAGATGTTTGATAAAACATGTATGTAAAAATGTATTTCCGCTTAGCAGTTATTGGTTAGTGTCCTGTAAGTTGCCCTGTACTTGTTTTTATTTTGGAAATAAGTAACCTGGTTTGTGGAAATTTGGGTTTGTTTGGGTAAAGGAACACTTTATTTCCAGGTTTTCCCTCCCCTCTTCTCTATCTGGCATCTGCTATCATGTGAGTTGGTTGGATTTTACAGCAGATTTCTTAGGAGACCAGAACTGATCTGTGAGCCCTCCTGCCTTCTGTTGTCCTGTTCTCTCACGATGTCTTTACAGTCACCAGGCTTCAAGATGCTGCGGGCACACAGGACCAAACTGGACAGGCTGGTGCGCAGCTTCTCCAAAGGGCTTCACCACAAAGCTGTGATGGCCCTGAGGAGGGAGGATGTGAATGCCTGGGAGAGAAGGGCGCCTCTGGCTCCCCGGCACATCAAAGGCATCACGCAGCTGGGATACAAGGTCTTAATTCAGCCTTCCAATCGCCGGGCCATTCATGATAAGGTAAATATCGCCAATTTTTAAAAAATATGTGGGAAAAAAATGAACCTGTATATGAAAATTAAGGAGCATCTGAGTGTAAATAAAATGTTTTCTAGTGTCGCTTAAATATTATATGGCAATATTCCTTTACTTTAATTACAGTGAGATTTCTAGAAAGAATCCCTACTCAAGTCCACAATTCAGTCAAAAGTGTTATTTTCCCCCCATTCCATGCTCTCTTCAGCTGAGGGGTAGAGGGATTGCTTTTAGAAGGAGATAGTATCCTTTAGTTATTCTCTCCTTCATGTGTGATTCTGGGACAGGGGAGACAAAAATCAATGACACTACTGTCTTACTGACTTATAAGACTTGTCTCCAGGAAAGACTTTTTTGGGTAGAATTTATTCATGAGTTTACCTTGCCAGCCACTGTGTGAAGCCCCTTGCAGTGGACATTCCATTTACTCTTCACAGTAATCTTATGATATAGATTTGACTCATTTTCATTTTAGAGGTATACATATGTTTTTTCATCCTTGAACCATTTGAAAACAGGTTGCAGACATCACGACACTTTACTATTAATTGCTTCAGTATGCATCTCCTAGGAATAAGTCATTTTCTTACATAACTACTGTAATCATTTTCACACCTAAGAAATTAATAATTCTGTAACATCATCTCAGAGAGTCCATGTTCAAATTCCCCATTGTCTGAAATGCCTTTATAGTCTTTTATTTTAATTGAAGCTTAAAGTTCACTGCATTTATTGTTATGTCTCTTTAGTTCTTTTAATTGAGAATAGCACCCCTCTTTTGATTTTTATTTCAATGACATTGACACTTTTTGAAGAGTCCAGGCCAGTTGACCTTCTGGATGTAACTACTCTGGTTGTTTCCTCGTGACTAGATTCAGGTTAAACACTTTTGACATGTATATTACATAAGTGATATATATTCTTCCCATTGTATCACCTCAAAGAGACAAAATATCAGGTCGTCACCTGGGTAGGATTGTGTGATCACTTGCCTGAGGTGTGGTTCCCACCAGATCTCTCCATTGCAAAACTACCTTTCTCCCTCTGCAATTACAGAGTCATCTGTGGGATGTTTTAGGACTTGTGAATTTCTTGTTCCTCAACAACCTTTCAGCTAATGATGTTAGTTAGGATCCATTGATAATCTTTGCCTGAATCAGTTTTTACAGAGAGGCTTACAAAGTGATGAATTTCTGATTTTATCACCCTCCCAAGTTTATTCTCGGGTATTCTCTGTAGAAAAGAGATTTCCCTTAGTTTTCCCTTTTCCCTTGCTCTTTAGAGTACCATTATGGATGCACAGGTCTTTTTCTTTTAATGTATGATAATGCATTAACCATTATTCTTTTTAATGTTCCAGTTATCCCAAATTTGGGGTGGTGAGAGTCCCTTTAAGGGGGCTCCTGTGTCCTTTAGACATGAATCCATTTATCTTTGAGCTCTCTTGTTTCCTGCAACAACAAATTGTTCTAGCCTCACCTGGTGCTTTTTCTGCCCCACTCCTGGAATTAGCCATTTCATCAGGGAGCCTTGATTTCTTTTCGTAAATAGAAACCAGGATCTGATATCTGGTGTTAGATGTGCTTATTGTTACTGAGATATTGTTGCTCTTGGGCTCATTTAGTGGACAGAGCTAAGAAATACATAGATACAGACACACACCCATATACATATATATTATGTAATCACGAGTCAGTAAGATATTCCCAATTGAAATTTAATGTGGCAGGTTTTTCTTACCTTCAAAATTTTATGTTTGCATCTTTCTCCAAAAGTAAAAATCTTAATTCTTCATAACATTAATGCACAATTTTTGCTTTATCCTGTAATATGCATAAAATCGTTTTGGAATCACAATACTAATATTACAACAATAAACCTATTAAATGGAGCTTAATGTTTCTTTGAAGTTTTTTTTTTCCCTTTGGAAAACATCTCACAAAGAATATTCACAATACTGCGTTCAAAATTATTTGAATGATTTTTTTCTATGTGGTTTCATTGTCAATATGATATTTAGTTGGATTCATTTATTTTTGATTTCTATTAAATTCTAATGTTTGCTTTTAAATCTTGTGATTTAATTTAATTTTTCAAATAAGTTAAACATTTACAAGTTTCAAAGATTAAAACCATGTAAAAAGATGTAATGTATAGAAGGCTTGGTCTCCACTTAACCCCTTACATCCTGTTCCCATCCACTCCACAGGTTATGATTTTCATTAGTTTCTGATCTGTCATTCCTATATTTATTTTTGCAAAAATAAGCATGTGTGTGTGCACGTGTATTCTTGTTTCCCCTTCAGTGTTATGCAGAAGGTTGGATACTATATATACTCTTTTGCACTTTGCTTTGTTTAGTGAACAGTGTATCCTGGAAATCACTCCATGTCAGTTCACAGTGATCTGCTTCATTCCATTTAGTGGCCCTGTAGTAATTACTCCATGGTTTATTGTGGTTTATTTAACCAGTCTACTATAAATGGGCAAATAGACCGTTTTCAAAAAGACCACGTGTGAACCTTATGTTCATTCTTTTACTCTCTCTTCTGTCCACTATACTTTCCTTTGAAGTAGATTCCTAACTAGATTTATCTTCATTTAATTCAACTGCCACCTTTGATTCTCTTTTATTCTACCTGGATAATGCCATTCTTTGATTTAAAAATCTGAAATGACTGTTTACTGCCTCCATGTGTTAGCTGTGCAGTCTCAGTTAACTGTGTAAGCCTCAGGTATCCTGTTGATAAAATGGTGACAAAAATAGCACCTACCTCATGGGAGTTTGATGAGAATTAAATGAGATAATTCATGCAAAAAGCTTAGCAAAGCACATAGTAACTTATTTATAAATGTCAATGATTATTATTTTTATCCAATGAAGTTCATATTACCCACGATAATATTCAGTCTATTTTCCAGATTGATTTACCCATCCTACCCTAAACATCTTACTTTCCTGCCTCCATATTTGTATATATTCCTTCAATTCCTCTTACTGATATTGCCACCTTGTGTTTCCCCTCTACATATCTCCACATTCTACCCAGCCTTTCAGATTAATTTAAATTTCCATATTTTCATTTCACCTGGCAATTACCTCACTCTCCATTAAAGTAATATGTCACTTAGATTCTGCTGATCGTATGTTCTTTGAATTCAGCCTCATTTATTGTGTTCCTGATTTCGTTTTACTGTATTTCATGAGCTCCTTTACAGGAAGGATCTCATTTGTTTTTCTTTGTATCTTATCGTCTCATCTTGAGCACAGTCCATTGTACAGAGTAGGGCAATAATAAACACTAATTAAACCAAAAGAAAAAGAAAAATATTGCAGACATCTCTCTTCTAAAAATACAGCGGCGTATTGTCACTATTTAGTGTTTAATGTTTCAGTGCATTGTTGGTATAAAATATACATTTCACAAATATATTTAAATCATGTGTGCTAGTGGTTTTGATCAAACTATAAACTGTTCTTAAATATGAGTATTTGCTGAATTTTCTAATTTTTTTTTACTATACAAGTCAAACACGATAGATTTAGCTTTACCTAGAAAGTAAAAATATTAAAAATAGTTGTTCTATTATTTGTTCTAGTCCTTACAGAGTTTATTCTTTCAAAAGGTGGTGCCTTTAATTGCTACCCTTATTTATTAAAGAAAATAGAATGCAACAAATTAGTGGAATAACTTTTAACCGAATTTACATTCCCAGGATTATGTCAAAGCTGGTGGCATTCTTCAGGAGGATATTTCTGAAGCTTGTCTAATTTTGGGAGTGAAAAGACCCCCAGAGGAAAAATTAATGTCCAAGAAGACTTATGCTTTCTTCTCGCACACAATAAAGGCTCAGGAGGCCAATATGAGCTTATTGGATGAGATTCTAAAACAGGTAATTAGTGACCAATGGTCATAAATATTAACAGAGAAACATAATGTTTTTTTACTTTTAACTGTCAAATGGAGTTTTAGTTCTCTTTTGGCACCTAAGAAATATACCATGTTATCCACTGGAATAAGAAAGGGGACCTGTGAGTTAGTGCTTGCATAGTTCTGCTGCTCTTAGGGCTCCTCTGTGGAGCAAGTTTGGAGTTTGTAATAAGAGGAACCAAACGTATGTCATTCCTTTTGTATTCTGAAATGCAAACAATGATAGAAGTGTTTCCCAAAAATGATTACCAATTTATAAGGCTTGTTGGTCAGATATTACCACGTAGAATTTTAGAGCTGAAAAGAACATCACAGATCATGTAATCCACCACCCTAATTTTTCTTTTAGAGCTCAGAGAAGTGAAGTGACTTCCCTGAGGTTGCACAGCTCTGTAGTGGCAGACCTAGACTGAAGACTTTTGCATTATTAGCATTCAAAAAGGACAAAAGAATTTTTTGAGATGTAAATACTATGGGAAAACTATTCGCTGTTTAAAATACAGAGTATTCAGTCAACAAATATTTATCAAGTGCCTACAATGTGTCTGGCACTTTTACTGCAATGACAATAAAATATCCCTGTCTTCACAGAACTTACCTTCTGGTGGGAGGAGACAGATGATAAATAAATAAGACATCTCCCATGTTATTTGGTGATGTGTGTAATGGAGATAAATATGATGCAGAAGGAGAAAAGGAGTGCTGGGCACTGGGGAGGTGACAATGCTAGTTTAAATAGGATGATCGAGGGAGCCTCATTGTGAAGTTGGCATTCAGCAAAGATTTGAAGGACATGGAGGATCAAGTCATATCCATCTGGGAAGAGTCCTCCAAACAGAGAGGATAATAGTGAAAATGCCTGAGGGTCTTTTTGAGTGGAGGGTTAGAGTAGCTCATGTTCTAAAATGCTTGTTCTGCTGCTGTGTGGATAATAGTGGGAGGTGGAAGAAGGGTAACAAAATTGATAAGATTGTTAATCTAGGCTAGTGTGGACTCTAGGCTACAAGTGATGGTGGCTTGCATGAGGGTGGTGGTAATGGAGGTTGCGATGCGTGGACAAAGCTTGGGTGTGTTTGAGAGGTGTGATCCTACAGGATTCACTGATGAAATGAATGTGAAATCGGAGAGAAAGAGGAGTCAGAGATAACTTCAAGATTTTGACCTGAGCAACTTAAAGGAGTTGCCATAGATTAAGATGATGCTACCGCAAGAAGAGCAGGCTTGGATGGGAGGATCAAGAGTCGAGTTTAATTTGTCCATTAGACATTTAAAGGCAGATGCTGAGTGGACCGTTGGATATGAATTTGTAGCTCAGGAGGGCAGTTCCTCCTGATACATTTTGTAGTTGTCAGAGACTTGATGGTATCGAGTGGGTGTGGATAGAGAAGTCCGAGGTCCAAGACCTGGCGTAAGGAGGCTAGAACATTGGAAACTCGACTAGAATCTGAGAATAGAGCACAGGAAAGGAGAGCTCACAAACGTAGAAGCAATGAAGGCAAATGTATTTTATATAGACATATAGAATCATGCCTACTAATTTCATGTATGCGAGAGCTGGGCTGTAGTTAATTTGCAGGATTTCTAAAGAACAAATTCAGAAAGTAATTAATAGAAATAATGTTATAAGAAGAACGTTTTCACCTTAAGCAAATAAACTCCTTAAAAAGTACTTTAGAAACATTTTTTTATTATATGAACTTTTGTTCATTACAAGCAAATTAATAAAAACGGACCCAGCAGGGCTGCTTTTTGGCAGCATTTTGTAACCAATTACCTGGAGTTGCATGAATATTAAACATTATTAAATTCATGCACATGGTAGAAATCATATGATCTTTGAGGAAATAAAATGTTTAAAATATTCTGTAATGCCAATGTGTCAATACCTTTTAAGCATGAATTCATAAGACATTGCTGAGAGAGGGAAGATTTTCAAGAAAAGTGGAAGAATGTGGTTTTAGTGAAGGTGAGGAGGTGAAAAGGATGCATCATGTGCTACTTTTTAAATGAAGCTTACTTGTGAAAGGATGGAGAGAGAAAAAAAAGAGGAGAGAGAGAGTCAGAGAGGGAAAGAGATAGAGCAAGAGAGAGAGAGGGAGGGAAGGAGAGAAAGAGAATGAGATATAGGTTTGTGTATGGACTTGAGAGGGAGTGTTGTTATTATTTTTAAGGTAGAAGAGATCTGGGTGTATTTGGAATGGAGGGGAAGAAGCAATGGAAAAAGAGATGATGCAGGAAAGAGAAAAAGTTCAAGAAGAGTGGTCTCAGAGGACATGGAAAAGAGCTGGGCTCTAGCTCATAGGATTAGTCTCAGGAGGGACTTGTTTTCTTTGAGACTAAAAGAAAAGATGAGTGAGCTGTAGATATATTTGTAGATGGTGCTGGACTAAAAGTTAAAGAAAATCATGCCTTTATTGTTTTGTTGACTACCATCAAGGGGTGTTTAGCACCCTGCTAGGACCGTTCTTTCACCTGTAATACAAACCTATCATTGGGTTGTGACCCAGCATTTTCTAAATATTTCATGTTGCACCTAATGGTAACTTATGTTAGCAAGTCAAGACTTGCTCATATATGTGCTTTCCTCACTGAAATTAATGTTGATGGGTCTGGTTGAGAAATTGTTTATCCTTTCTTCAGGAAATCCGACTTATTGATTATGAGAAAATGGTGGATCATAGAGGACTTCGGGTAGTGGCGTTTGGACAGTGGGCAGGTGTGGCAGGTAGGTATGCCTGGGCTTTGACGTCACCCACTTTCTAAATTTGCCTGGGGAATCAATAGTTGTTTTTTTCGTTTTTCCTCTCTTTTCTGTTGCAATGGATTGGGAGTGTTCATTTCCACCAATAAAAATAAACATGGAGATGTGACTAAGGGTGATGAATATCAGAGGAATAGAATAAGAAGGTAAATCATTAAAATATATTTATTACAAATATTAAAAATGAAAGAGAGCAGGGAGGAGGGTAACAACTGTGGACAGGCTCTGGCTTCTTGGGTAGTTCTGTTTGGAAGACTAGAAGGAGAGGTCAGTTTGGCAGTGAGTCATTGGGGAGCAGGAGGGGGAAAAAGGGAGGAAAAAGGTACACGACAGGAACCAACAGAGGAGCAGCGTAGAAAGAATAAGAGCTGGAGTTTAGGGGAAAGCGCCGCTTGATTTTTCTCGCAATGTTACTTTGAACCTTCTGTAGTTGAGAAACACCACCATACGTTATAACTCTGTATTGGATTAGACCACTTAATGGTCTGTAATTGTCAGAACAAATAGACAGAAAATTTGTAGGGATGTAGGGCACTAAAACATGAGCACTCTCTGTGACACACCTGACAGTTATTGAAAACTCCACTCAACAACTGCAGGATACACAGTCTTTTCAAGTCATGTGGAACATTCACCCAGATGCTCCATATTCTGGGTCACAGAACAACCTTTCTTTTTTTTTTAAAGCATCTTTTTTTGTTTTTGAAGATTGGCCCTGAGTCAACATCTGTTGCCAATCTTCCTTTTTTTTTTCTTCCGAAGCTCCCCAGTACACAGTTGTACATCCTAGTTGTAGGTTCTTCTAATTCTGCCATGTGGGATGCCGCCTTATCATGTTTTGATGAACGGTGCTATGTCCCCACCCAGGACCCTTGAAAGGCACAAATTACCAAAACCAACTCAAGAAGAAATAAGAAACGTGAATATCAATGTACAAAGTAAATTCCACTGATAATTTATCAAGGAGAATGAATTATTTTCTTGTAAAGACTTATTTATAGTAGCTTCATTCCTAATAGCCTGGGAACAATCCAAATGTCCATCAGCAGAGGAATGGATAAATAAATTCTGGCATATTCATAAAATGGAAAACTTCTCAACAATAAAAAGAAGCAAACTACTGATACTCACAAAGTATATATGAATCTCAAAAACATTACGCTGAGTGAAAGCAGACACACAAAAAAAGAGTATATACTTAGAATTTCACTTATATGACACTGTAGAAGAAATTAATCTATATAGACAGAAATAAGATCACTAGTTGCCTGGGGCCAAGGATTGGGAGGATCGACTAGGGTGGGGGGATTATTCTGTATCTTGATTATGTTGGTAGTAATATGGGTGTGTACATTTGTTAACAGTTATCAAAGTATACACTTTAAATTGGAGCATTTTATTGTACATAAATTATTCCTTTAAAAGTTGACTTCAGAATAAAAAGCAAAGAAAATTTGATAGGGTTATGAAGAAGGAAAGTTCTGTTCTATAAAAAAGGAGAGGGGTGCTGAGGTCTTTGCTACAGGCATGCTGAGTTTTTGCTATTTGCAAGACATCCAGATTGAGAAATCTATAAGGTGGGGTTGGTTAGGGCTTGAAATAAAATGTCTGTGTTAGAGATACAGACCTGGGGTCAGCAGCATACAGAAAGTACTTGAAATTTAGGACTTGGTGACATTAGCTAAGGAAGAAAATGAAGAGATTGAAGAGAATAGGGCCTGGGAGAGAATTCTGAGGCTGATTAACATATGAGGAAAGGGCAGAAGACACTTATATAAAAGGAATGGGCATGGGAAGAAGCATGCACAGAAATATGGGATGAAAATTTTCAAGTCAGAGGTGCTGAGGGAAGAGAGTGTTCCAACAAAGAGGGGCTCCACATTGCCAAATGTCTCTGACAAGTAAGTCAAGATCTGAAAAGTGTCCACTGAGTTTAGCTATTTAGGTCACTAAAATTGCTGATGGGGGTCATAGGGTCAATGATGGCTTTGTTTTTGTTTGCTCATTTGTTTTTGGTATGGGAGGAATGGAAGTATGTTTAAATGTTGGTAAGGATGACCCAATAGAGAAGGATAGTGAAAGGAATAAAAGTGAAGTTTTTAGAGAGGCAAGAAGGAATGGGATCTGGAGCAAAGGTGGAGAGATTAACCTTAGAGAAGAAGAGAAACACTCTTTCCATTGTAGCAGGATTGAAAGTGGAGGGAATAGATGGGGATGCAGCTGGGTTGGTGTTTTTGATGGCAGGAAGCTGAAGGGATGCATAAGATGGCTACTGTGACCCCTTCCAATTCTGAGATGCTGTGGTCTGTGCTTCCTCAGAGCACCACAGGTTGGAGAATAGGCAGAGAGAACAGCTTCGACTCCTCCCAACTAATGGTCTTTCTATTGGTCTGATTCTGCAATAGGGATGATCAACATTTTACATGGAATGGGTTTAAGGCTCCTTGCTTTGGGACATCACACACCTTTTATGGTGAGATATTTATTTTGTTTACTTTTTTGAAAATACGTGTTACATTTCAAAAGTAGAAAAATGTCTCAGGTGGTAGACTCACTTGAATCATGTGCTTGCTTTCAGCACATTGGCATGGCTCATAACTACAGGAACAGCAGTCAGGCCGTGCAAGCTGTCCGCGATGCTGGCTATGAAATTTCTCTGGGTTTGATGCCAAAGTCCATAGGGCCCTTAACATTTGTGTTCACTGGGACTGGTAATGTATCGAAGGTAAATTCCACCTGTCTTCTTTCTGTAAAGCAGTCTGAAACTCTGAAACTAATGCAAAGGCTGTGGGCTTTCGTGGGGCGTTCAGAGCCCTGCTTTTTTGTGAATGGGCATTCTATTTTTGAAACTTTTCTTACCTATCTACTTTGCCCATAGTAAAGAGCAGTAATGGTCCAAACTTATTTTCTTTGCTTTTAGTTGATTCCAAGCTGTCAGAGGCTTTGAATGCTTTTTCTTTTCTTTTTTCTTTTTAGAGGGATAACTCATTGTTAATGGTGTAAAGGTCTGTTCTTAGGGTGATCTGTTTTACCTACATCATTGAGATGTCCAAAAGTTTGAAAGTGACCCTAGAAGGTAACTTTTGCAAGACGACTTGGAGTTTTGCCAATAAAATGTTAGGAAGCTTAATTCAGGATTGGAATGTATACTTTCTTCATTGTGGAGTGGTTTTGAGCACACATCTGTGATCCCCCAGAGAAACTTACAGTTGTAAAATATTTTAGAAATAAGACATCACTATTTGTTTTATACTGTGAGATGGGCATCTAATGTTTTACTTTCCCCACTTGAAATAATTTCTGAAATGGAGCAAAAAGCAAATAGGAATATTTTATTGTACTCTCATTTCTAAACACTCTTGTTTTTACTCTAACTTAAGTAAAAAATGAAAGCCCCTCCCAGTGTGTGCCATTCAAACTGGAGTAAATCTGTTTTGCAGGCTGTGTGCAAGAAACTCGTCTGTACTTGCATGTTACAGTCCTGGTGGCAGGGCGGGACAAGCGGATCTACGTCATTGTGGGGAGAATGAATTGGAGTCTTTGCAGGAAAATGTGTTGGCTCTTCTATTGACTTCTAGATGTTTACTCATGTGTCGTTACAGGGAGCCCAAGATATCTTCAATGAACTACCCTGTGAGTATGTGGAACCACATGAATTAAAAGAAGTTTGCCAAACTGGAGGTAAGAGGGGGACGCTGACTATGTATCTTGTACTGTTTTAAACAGTTTCTGTGTTATAATATTGTACAGCTATAAATTTTTATCGCTTGTCGCCCACTTTACTCATTTCTCTCTCCTCTGCAAGACCTGAGAAAAGTGTATGGGACGGTGTTAAGTCGTCATCATCATCTTGTCAGGAAAACAGATGGTGTATATGATCCTGTAGAGTATGACAAGTATCCTGAGCGCTACATGAGCCGCTTTAGTACTGACGTGAGTATCGTATTCAGCTTCCGAGTGGGTTGCTCATGATTCACTATAGCGAGACCGTTTTCAAGGAGAGAAGTTACGAATGTGGATGTTGGTTTTCAGTTCCCCATATTGACTTGTTGTGAGCCCTTTGGGTATCATGAGTCAGCCTTAGGAGCTGTTGGCCTTCATCGATGTTTGGAGTGGCCTTTGCTTAGTGGTTTGGGTGGCTTCTGTGGATATGCCCTTTGCTTGCCTGTTTGTGTCTTTACTTCAGGTCTGCATGTGCCCAGTAGTTCTAAAACATTTCCCGTGGATTACTGATTTCTGTATTTATCCTGGATTAGTTAGTACTGTTGGCAAAGCACAGTGTTTATGAGGTTTGCTCTCAACATAGGTTTCTTCCTTCTATGGCCACAAATTGCAATCACACCCTCAGCCAACTGTCTTGAAATGCGTGCCATTGATTACAGGGCCAGGGTGAAATAGTGTGGCTATATAAATACAAACCCATGCCCACTGGACAAAAAAGTTACTTATAATTAAAATCCTTCTGATGTTGGCACACTGACCCCATCTTATAAGAAGAGTAATATGTTTGTGTGTTCTGTAGTCTTTGATCATGTAACAGTCCTCCTCAAAATAAACCAACAGAAAATAAACAAAACAAAAATGCATGCATTTATTTTGAAAAGGAATGTTTTAAATAATTTTAAGTATGTTTGAACAACAAAGCATTTTTAGATTCTAGATTCTAGCATCTTTAGATTTTAGATTTAGTGTTATAGGATATAGTGCATGTTATAGAGAAGGACTCTCACCTGTAGCTTGAGAATGCTTGAAAAATAAAAATTCTGAAACTAGTTTCAAGCTGCAAAATTTTGAATCTAGTAAATTTCCATCCTTTTTCTTTTCTCCAATCACAGAAGTGTTGGTGATTGGATGCATCCTAAAACTTATAGTGACCTAGTTACCATGTGTGCATGTATGTAGCACATTTACCCACGGACCTTACAGAGTTATCTGATTTAATAGTTACAGCATTCCTTTGAGGATTGGGGTACGTACTGTCCCCAGCTGGCAGGTAAGGACAACAGAGCCCAGAGAAGCTGAGGTAGCATGACTTAGGTCACACTCCACTGGTGGTGGAGCTGGAAGTAGAGTGCTAGGCCACTTGATTCCTTTTTCTTTTCTTTCCTTTTTCTAGGCTATGCAATACATTATAGAACACACAATATATCTATGTTCATATATTTCTCTATCCTGGGGTAATTCTACACTGAAATCTGGGTGGGTATTTATTGTCTTTGCGTCAAAAGATGGCCACTGATCTGATAAATAATGAATTCAATTAGAAGGAACATTAAATGATTTCTCATGGACTTTGCTGGTAGCTGTCTTTCAGCACACTGCATTGAAATATGCTGTTTCCTATCTTGTTGAACTTGGAAGTTGCTTTACAGATCGCACCATATACAACTTGTTTAATTAATGGGATCTACTGGGAACAAAACACCCCTCGTCTCCTAACCCGCCAAGATGCTCAGAGTCTCCTGGCTCCAGGCAAATTCTCAGATGCTGGTGTTGAAGGCTGCCCTGCATTACCACATAGGTAGGGACTTTACTTCAGCAATGATGGCAGTTTTTAGCAGCAGGGCTCACTGTAAGGGTATCACACATGGGGAATCCACATATCACAGGACTTGCCTGTTAATGACCAGTTGTCTGCCTTATCTTATTTGACCTCTTGGCAGCATTTAACAGTTAACCTTCCCTCCTTCTTGAAACTCTTTCTTAGCTTCTGTGTCTCCACATGCAGCTCAAAAGTAGCTTCCCCAGTGAGGTCCTCTCTTGCTTCCCCATTCCCATCTCTCTCTAGTCTGTTACTCTGGTTCTTTTTCTGAAATCATGATCATTCATTTTCCTGTGTTTATGATTTTTCCTCTCCTCCTAGAACTTAATCATGTTTTTTAAAGATTGGCACCTGAGCTAACATCTGCTGCCAATCTTTTTTTTTTAATTTTTCTTCTCCCCAAAACCCCCCAGTACATAGTTGTATATTCTAGTTGCAGGTCCTTCTAGTTGTGCTATGTGGGATGCCACCTCAGCATGACCTGATGAGTGGTGCTAGGTCCACCCGCAGGATCTGAACCAGTGAAACCCTGGGCCAGTGAAGCCGAGCAGGCAAACTTAACCACTCAGCCACGGGGACGGCCCTAGAACTTAATCTTAAGGAGAGGGATCTTATTTATCTTGGTCACAAGTAACCAGTACATTGCCTGACATATAATATACATTCAAATGATTATTAAATGTTCAATTAATTAATCAATAAATATTTGTGGAACATCGGTCTACCTGGCACTCTGCTAAGCTAAAGGATAGAGAAGAGTAAAAGATATGGTTGCTACCCTCAGGCACATAGCTGGCATGAAGTAAATGCTAAGGGAATGCTAGAAGCAATCAATATCACAAGACTTTAGAAGACAGCATGGGCTCAGCAAAGCCTTAAGAGGGAGGGGTGAGGAGAACGAGAATTTCACGTGGTAGGTTTGGTGCTTGATAAATATGGAGCCACCAAAACACAATTTAACACAGTGAGCGGGACAGTCTGGCTCTGGTATAGTGTTTATATAGGCTAGTGGTAATTGGAGATTGGGCAGGAAAATTGTGGTCAACCTTTAAAGGATTTCAAATGCTGAGCTGAGACATTTGTTCATAATTCTAGAGATTTCCATGTAATAACATATAAAATTATGTTGTACTAACCAGGGTGAAGGGAGTTGGTTAAGTAGGTTAACTTTAGTCTGTTTTCAACAATTTCTCTAGGGAAGGGATTTCCCACTTTTCTTTCTTTTCCTTCTCCTCTCTTCCTCCCTCCTCTGCCTCCTCCTTCTTTTTCTCCCTCCTCCTTGTGGAGAGTGAAACTCACTGGGGAAGAGTCTGTGTATCCCAGAAGAACGCAGTGTCCTGAGCAGTGAGCTGTAGAAAAAAGAGCTAAGAGCCTAGGAAATAGTAGGCATCCACCTTGAAAATTTTCTAAGCACCTTACATTTTTATTCATTTTTTTATCTTGTTGGAGACTTCAGAGTTCCATGCTCTCAGCTAAGTATTGATGTTATTTTCAGACTTGTGGCAATATGTGACATTTCAGCGGACACAGGAGGATCTATAGAGTTTATGACCGAGTGTACGACAATAGAGCATCCCTTTTGCATGTATGATGCAGACCAGCACATTATTCATGACAGGTGAGTTTGCTAAAGCTGTTAGATGCATAATAATATGTTCACTTACCTTTATATACTAGTGTTAAAATACTCAGTATTTTACATCTTTATGAAGGCTAGGTAAATTTCTAGAGATATGCTTAAATGTATTAAAAAATTTGGTAGAAAAACCACATGCAAATTTGAACACTTAAATCCATATACACTATATTCAAATGGGAGGTGAGTTGCTGAAGAAGGAAAAAGTTTTGTTTGAAAAGTCCTGTTTATTTTCTTACATGCTTTGGTACAAAATTACAAATGGTTATGAAGCAAATATAATGGAGTAGACATCTGGAAAAGTTAGAGCTTACAAATAGCATTTTGTACATCTGAATAAAGCATATTGCTTCTCCTAGTGTTGAAGGCTCTGGAATTCTGATGTGTTCCATTGACAATTTGCCGGCAGAGCTTCCAATTGAAGCCACAGAGTACTTTGGAGACATGCTTTACCCTTATGTTGAAGAAATGGTAAGCAGACCGGTGGCATCTACAACAACTCTGGGGCTTTAAATAGAACTACGGAGTCATCTTATGAATGTTCTGGTCTTCTGTATCTAAGAAATCTGTTGTAAAAGGAAATGCCAACCCTTCCCTGAAGTACTTACTGACACCCTTATTTTGCATATTCTGCTTACTTGTCTCATGGGAAGTATGGTTATATAACTGCCTTCATGCTTAACTACAATTACATTTGTCTCTCATTATGCATATTTTGCATACATAAGAATGCATAAGAGTGTTCATGACATGTGAGATAAGACTTGTTTTATATTCAATTCTTTCTGCTGGCTAAGTCACTTCATACTGAAGCATTCTTACTGTGCTGTGATTAACAGATTTGAAAAATCAGAAATATGGAAAATTTCATTGGATTTTAGTCACTAATGCTTACTTGAGTGACAGCTTTGCCAAGGTCATGTACTTTTTGTTGTGATCAGTGATTGACTACTAAAATACTACTGTGTTATCTAAATTCCATTTTCTTTGCCAAAGATAAGCTTTCTAATTTTAGTATTTATCCTATGTTCATGCCCATCCTGCTTTATTTCTGTTGGTAATGTCTACCTCTGACAATGATTCCAAAGCTATGAATAGTAGCTCTTGTCCTTTTCATCCTACTTTTATTCAGGAGCTCTCACACTAAAATGAGACAGTAGTTAGTGGGGCATGAATAAGTGAAACTTCCAGGCTGTGATCTTCCTTTCTTTCCTGGGTGGTTTCATTTTGACCTTTTACTTTTCCTCCTGGAATATGTCCACAGGAAGACATAATAGGCTTTGGAAAATGCAGGCAGCTAGCATTATCATGGTTGGACACGATGTTATATTGCACCTACCATGTGCCAGACTATATTCAACTTACTCTATATTTAATTTTTAAATGCTCATGAGAACCCTGTCCAGTCGGTGCCATTATTAACCTCCTTACTGATTTGGAAACTAAGACAAAGAGAAGTTAAGGCTGAGAAGGTTGCTTATTCAGTGTTGGATCTGTAGTGGGTCTGGGATTGGTGCTGAGGGATTAAAGTAACGTGAGAAGGACAGTACAAATGCCAGGTGTCACTGGAGACGTCGACCTGCATTCTGGCCTTGAGCGGGGCACGCCTTCCTTTCTGAGCCTCAGATGTTTCTCCTGTAAAATCAGGCTGTTTTAATATATAATCTTATTGCTCCCTCCAGTTCTAACATTCTGTAATTGTAAATGTCGAAGTGGCTGAAAGGCATGTATATATAAAAGAAGTAGTAATAAATTTACCTGGATGTTTACCGTTTGTTTTTTTTTTTTAAAGATTGGCACCTGGGCTAACAACTGTTGCCAATCTTTCTTTTTTTTTCTGCTTTATCTCCCCAAACCCCCCCGTACACAGTTGTATATCTTAGTTGCATGTCCTTCTAGTTGTGGGATGTGGGACACCGCCTCAACGTGGCCTGATAAGCGATGCCATGTTCGCGGCCAGGATCCGAACCCTGGGCCACCGCAGCGGAGCGCGTGAACTTAACCGCTCAGCCAGGGAGCTGGCCCCTGTTTACCGTTTTTGATGACGTTCATTCATTTCTCTCTGGCATCATTTCCCTGCAGACTGAATAAATTCCTTCAGCTCTTTAAGGGAATTTTTTATTTCAGATATTGTCTTTTCAATTCTAAAATTTCTATTTGGTTCTTTTTTTTTTTTTCCTCTTTATCTGCTGGGAATTTCTATCTTTTCATTTATCATGAGTGCGCTTTTTCTTTATCACATGGCGCATAGTTATAAAAACCACTTTACAATCTTTGCCTCATATTTCTGAAATTCTGGATCAGCATAGGGTTGAACATTATTGGTTGTCTTTTCCCTTAAGAATGGATCAGTTCATAGTTTTCTTAGGTTGAATAATTTTGGATTGTTTCCTGGATGATATGAATACAGTAGTTATGCTGTGGAGATTCTGGAATGTTACATTTCTCTGAAATGTGTTGGTTTTTTTGTTTTAGTGGACAATTAGCTTGGCTAGACTTAAGCTGAAAACACTGTCTCCCCTGAGGTGGGAGGGTAGCTCTAGTAAAAGTTCAGCTCTTTCATCTGTACCTGGGCTGCAACAGTCTGACCTGCACGTGCTCAGCTGGGGGGTCATCCAGAGACTTGGAACAGAGTTTACATGGAACTTCACTTTTTCTGAATCTATCCTTTCTGGCATTTCCCCCTCACACTCTTGAGGCTGTGGTTGCTCTGAGTTCCACTTATGTTTCCTTAGATGAGAAAGTCAGTGAACCTACTGCATGTTTTTACCTCCTTGAACCACATGGCCTGTCCTCAGGAAAATGCCAAAGGAGCAGGAAACTCAACTACTGCTCTGGTTATTTCCTCCAAGTTTTGACAGAGGTGGTATTGCTTAGATTCTGATGACTAAGCCAACTTCTCTAAACTGCTCACAGCTCCTTCCTTTTTTACATGACTATGGTCCTTCAAACTTTATGGTGGGATTGTTTTGGGGACATCTATCTCAGCCTTAGCTTTAAGCACTGGACATTTGTGAAAATTGATGACTGTCTCTATTTCATAGTCTTGATATATGTGTATCTGCTTACCCCCCAAAGTTCAGTATATTGTCTATGTTCTCTTCTGCTAACTGTGTGGGAACTGTATTTAGAGTATATGCATGGTCCTTTGCCCCCAGATTCCCCTTATTGACTTAAGGGCCATCCAGACCCTGTAGCTTGCAGGGCACAGGCTATCATTTTGAACCAATATAGAAGTTTTGTTTCATTTGAATTCAGGAGATATTTACTGAGTGTCTGTTGGAATAGGACACAGCTATGGATGAAGAGAATTAAAACACAGCTTCTACCTACAGAAGCATGAGGTCCAGAAAGGGGATGAGACAAGAGTGCAACCCTGCCATAAAGTGCAATGTGACAGCTGTTGGAAAGATGTGAATGTAGTTGTGGAGAGGTCGTGTTCTGTTGGGTAGAATCAGGAAAGGTTTTATAAAAGAGGTGGCATTTGAGCTGGCTCTTGACACATGTATAGGATTCGTTCCTTTGCATGGGAGTGGGAGGCATACGATGTGATGGAGACAGGAGAGGAAAGGTGGGAGTTAACCTGACGTTGGGTTTCTGTGAGTTGTCAAGTCTGGTGGAGAAAAGGTAACTATGTTGGTTCCATATTGGGAAGGGTCTTAACAGTGGAATAAATAGCTTGAAATTAATCTAGGAAAGAGTGATGAGCTCTCAATGTGTTATATGTGAAAGTGACAAGACATACCACATGCTTCAGGACCCTTGTGCTTCTAGTGTTGTAATGGTTGAATTCTAGCAAGGGAGACAGGTAAATGCAGTAACTGAGCAGCTTTTCGTTTCTTTTTTGTTTGCCTTTCTTTAGGTGGACTCATGACAGTTATTCAGTTTTCTTAAGAAAAAGATCCATTTAATTTTAAGTAATTATTTCCTGTATCCACTAATATATTTATTAAATATTAACCATTTTATAATGTAGCAGGCATATGGTGAGATGCCAAGTGCAGTTCCTACTTTCAAGGTGTGCTTGGGGGCAGCTTTTGGTAAAGGCTCCACAGAGGAGGCAATTCTTCAGCTGCATCTTGGAGGACAAAAAGAGAGGTCCAGGTAGAGGAATAGCACGTGAGGCATCTACATGGGGTAGCACAGAGGCATGGGAAAGCATGCTGCAACTAAGCAGCTCTGAGCTGTTTCTAGGACTCAAGTGTTGGGTATGAGGCAAAAGGGCAAGCCAAGGTTGCAGAGGCAGAACCAGACTGTAGAGGGCCTTGTAGGTCACGCAGGGAGCTAGAGGTTTTATCATAAAGGCCATGGAAAGCTACTGCATTATTTTAAATAGGCACAGGAGAAATAATCAGATTTGTGTTTTAGATTGGAGATAAATGGAAGGAAGAAAGGTGGGAGGTAGTTCCCATGGTTCTTGTAAGGCCTAAATAAAGCTGTAGAATTGACATAAAGAGCAGAGAGAGTGAAAAGACACACAAGAGTTTGGTGGTTTAATCATATGCCGAGTGAAATTCGATCCTCATTTTATTGTCTACTCGTGGCTCCTGGCCTGTAGGGTGGTGGGGAGGTGGAGAAGTTTGATTGAGAAGGGGATACTCCAAAGGTGCCTGGGAAAAAGAAGCAGTGGGAGGACCCTTGGTGTGTCAGTTCCATGGGGTCCCCAAAGTATACCCTGTTTTATAGGTATACTTACCTGAATAGATATCTGGGAATACATAGTCTAGATGTCTTGTGTTTTAGATACACAAAAGTAGTTTTATATTTATTTTAACAAGTAAATAAATACTATCCTGCCAGCATCTGCTAGGTACATTTTGCTCTTTCTTAGTTGGGTGAGTGTCCTGGACCTTAGCCTATGATTGGGGAGGAAGGATTGTCTCCCTAAGGGCTTGACCAACAGAAGCAACCATGCTGACTCATGACCTTTATCCCTTGGCAGTCTATTCAAGAGTTGGATACCTTGGAAGAAAAGAGGAGGACTAGAAGGATGTTAATATGGGAGATGTGGCTTTTGTGGTTGACCATCTGACATTCTTGCGAGATAATGGGAAGAGTGTGGATGACTTCTTGAGGTCTACTTGCTCAAGTCATTTTCCTTGCGGACTTTGAAATGCTAATGTGCCTATATGTAGAACTAATATTCATCTGAGGAGACTCCCTATTGCAGGGTTGGTGGCCCTGCTGTCTGGAAGACTCATTCTCGACTTCTAATAGAGCAACCTGAACTTTGCAGTGAGATAGAGACCCTCTGAGGGAGGAGCGACTGTAAAGCTCGTGATATTTGCCAGCATGCTCAGTATGACACATCTCGCTGGTGGGCAAGGATAAGCTGTTTTGTGTTTCCAGCAAGCAAAGGTGATTGTAATCACATTCTAGTTTTAAAACTGGAAGTTGTGCTAAAATGACCTGCTCTTTGGGGCAGAATTCACTGCTTGTGGAAGACTGACTTCTCTTACCGATTATTTCTATTCAGTGATCTTCAGATAATTGTATTCTAAATTCTTTTTTTCTTTTGACTAATATTTTAATATGGATACAAACATGAAGAAGCCTTCTTTGCAATGTCATTGATCTCTTACCAATCTTATTTTCATTTCAGATATTGTCAGACGCAACACAACCTCTTGAAAGTCAGAATTTTTCTCCTGTGGTGCGAGATGTAAGTTATGAAAAGAATTTCTTTCCATGAGTGTATTTCTTCCACCATCATCCTCTCTCTCCTCTTTCTCTTCCTCTTTGTCTCTCTCTGTCCTTCTCTCTCTGTCACTCTGTCTCTTCTCTATCAGTCACAAGCCTATGTTTTTGGGACTAAAATGTGGATACTAAAGAGATGTCTTGTGTCATATACATTTAGGCAGTGATTACATCCAATGGTACATTGCCTGATAAGTATAAATATATCCAGAAACTCCGAGAGAGCAGGTAAGCATTGTTCAAATCCTCTTGTTTTATGCAATTATTCTTATCTTGGAGCTCATGAGTATTTTTTAATGCTTCCGTGTGAATTTGTGATGCTAGGTTTATTCAATATGTAAATTTTGAAAATGTCTGTAAATATAGGAAATTCAAACTAAGTGACTGGCTGAAACCAGTGTGAATTCTTCTTCCCTGAATGATATTGTAGCATCCTTTTGGCTTTCTAATATCCTATGTAGACTTGTATATAAGCAATTGAAAACCCAAACGGATGTCCTTTGGGGAAACCCTTGTTCTTCCTCTAGCATTTTGCATACTGTCGCACCTCAGTTATTTTCTCAAAGGAAAATGAGCACATGAACCCTTTCTGTGGTGCTTTCAGTCTGGTTTTTCTTGGACTCTCTTTTGTTTAATATACTGTTTAGGGAAGTGGGCTCTTGGTTAGAAATTAAGAAAAGAAATGAGGAAAGGAAATGGTAGAGGTCAGTTTTCCCTGGAGAGTCTTACGAGGAGGAAGGTGCTAAAAAGTAATGTGGCAAAACTACTCCGGAGAATAGTTTTCTTAGAAAGGAACTTAGCTAAGGCCTTTGTTTCCTTTGTTGATTTTACTACTCAAAGTTTGAAAACATTGACATCTCTGGAATGTTCTGGTCCCCTTCAGCTGATTGTACTGGATCTGTGTTTATATCTCCTCCACTGGTCTATGCACATTTAACAAAATAACTCAGGCATGGAATTCTCTGGAGAAACCAGAGTGAGAAAATTAAAAACAAACCAAAAAACTGCCTTATCTTTTTTTCTCAGTTTTTCTGCCTACAAGAAGTAAATACGCGATCTGGTCAGATCAAGTATACTGTTATGCTTTTTCGTATGTGTTAGTTTGCTTATATTTACTTTTTATGTGTCAATGAAATAGTGAAATATTCTGGCATAAGATACCATGAGTGTATAATTTGTTTTTTGAAAAAGCAGCTAGCTCTATAAACCCATCGGAGAGTCACTTATAGAGGAAACTTCATGTGTGTTTATTTTTCGTAGATCTCTGTTTCTTTTTCCTTTAATTTTTAATTTTAAAAAATTTTTTGAGGAAGATTAGCTCTGAACTAACATCTGCTGCCAATCCTCCTCTTTTTTGCTGAGGAAGACTAGCCCTGAGCTAACATCCATGCCCATCTTCCTCTATCTTATACGTGGGACGCCTACCACAGCATGGCTTGATAAGAGTGCGTAGGTCTGCACCCAGGATCTGAACCAACAAACCCTGGGCTGCCAAAGCAGAACGTGTGAACTTAACCACTGTGCCACCAGGCTGGCCCCCTCTCTGTCTTTTGATTTTCATCATCTGATGATCTCTTATAAACTAATCCTAATGATGTGTCTAATGTGACCAGTCACGATGATATCTCCCCCTTATACATCATATTTCATGTAGCAGCAGGTCTACTTGGCTCCAATTGCCAGGACTTTCTGCCCTCCTTCCCGGGTGGAATCTTGTGCCAAGAGACTGACAGTGAAGACTGCATTTTGAAAGGCAATTTAATCTATCTTGAACCCTGCCTTATTCTTATGTTCTCTTCATCACTTAACACAGTGATTATTAACCTGGAGCCTGGAGTGTGGAGTTTGGGGCTGCTGATGAGATGGACAGCATTAGAATCTATGAACAAGTTTTCAAAAGTATATTGTGAACATTTTATATTTGGACATCAAAATAGTATTTTTTAATTACGCATACTACAAAAAGTGTTGTTAGAAAGGACATACAATAACCAAATAATAATGGTTCTTTCTGGGAGGTGAAATGGGATGGGGATGGTAGTTAAAGGAGACCTCACTTCATCAGTAATATGAATGTGTTGGGGGTGAAGAGAGGCAGGGACATTTTATATTTGTGTTTATTTATTTATTATTACAACTTTTTTTATTGAGCTATAATTGACATATAGCATTATATTAGTTTCAGATGCACAACATAATGATTTGATGTTTGTATATATTGTGAAATGATCACCACAATAAGACTAGTTAACATCTGTCACCATACACAGTTAGAATTTTTTTTTCTTGTGATGAGTACTTTTAAGATTTACTCTGTTAGAAACTTGCAAATATGCAATACAATATTATTAACTATAGTTACCATGCTGTATATTACATTTCCATGACTTACTTATTATAACTACAAGTTTGTACCATTTTGCCCATCCCCACCCCCCTATATTTATTTCTATTCACTTATAATTAATGAAAAAGGTAAAACTTGAGAGACATCCTGGCCTAAAAGATTCCAACAACAGAGCCTGCTGCATAAGCCCCTGGCACCTGACCATTTCCATGGTTTTCCATTGGTATTTGAGAATTTGATTTGAAAGTTTTAACGAGTATCTTCCATATTTAAGACGAAATGTTCTGAGCGTTAATGGGTTTACAAAGGTGGATAAGACTTAATCACTGTGTTGGAAGTCATAGTTTGTAGGAAAGACAACGAGTTATCTGTCAGGGGGTACAGATTCCAACAGAATAAACTGTTTAAGAATTAAAATCCTGCCTAGTAACTTGTCTTAGATTTCTATGTTTAACCCATGGCATTTGTCATTTCAAAATTATGGTTTTAACTGTTTTCAAGTGGCCCTAAAGATAAATGACAAAATAATGTCTAATATGGATAAAAATAATCTCCTCCTCAAGTTATTGTCTTCTCAGATTGTTGTGAGGAGTAAATAAGGTTTTTTGATGTAAAGCCCCTAGCGTGGTTTTGAATCACGTCCCCTGGAGGGATAAAGTGTGCGACCAAGCTGCTCGATCGTGAGTAAGCCAGGCAGTGGTCGAGCATCTGCACCTCACTGGTGGTATCGGAAATTCAGGACAGTCTATGGACTCACACCTCAGCAATGTCATGGTCTGTTGTTCATCATACAAAATCCAAAATAGTTAATGAAAAATGTTGGTATAGGGAGCTCCTGTTGAGGTTCTTATTGGAAGAAATGTGGGAAAAATTATTGCCTCATAGTCTAAGTTTTAATCTGGTTTGGGGATAAGATTTTGTTATTCAAAATTTTTTTGTTAAATTTTTCTCCCCCTCCCCCCTTTTTATTTATAGGGAGCGTACTCAGACACTCTCAGGCACCAAGAAAAAGGTCTTGGTTCTTGGAACTGGTTACATATCTGAGCCTGTACTGGAATACCTGTCAAGAGATGACAACATAGAAATAACAGTAGGTAAGCAAAGCCTAATTTTTAAAGAAGAAGAAGAAGAAAAATCGATTTTAAAGCATGTTTACTCTGTGAATTTTATATGACTATTTTGTTTTTAAACTTTGAAAAATTATCTTTGGAGATATTAAAATGTGTTTTACTCCCTGACTAGTGAAGGAAATCTAAAAATTAGACTTTTTTATTCTTGAAATAGGCTCTGACATGAAGAATCAAATTGAACAGTTAGGAAAGAAATATAATATTAATCCTGTTAGCGTGGACATTGGTAAACAAGAAGAGAAGTTGGGCTCCTTGGTGGCAACACAGGATCTTGTCATCAGGTTAGTATCTAGTGAGAAATGACTGCCATATGCTTAGTTCTTATTGTTGCTATTTCTCTTTCTGTGTTTCCTCTTTCTTCTCTTCTTTTCTCGTCTCTTTTCTCTTTAAGTACACTTTTTAATTGAAGTGTGCATCCAGAAAAGTACATAAATCGTAAACGTATAGCTCAATGAATTTTCACAAAGTGAACACACCATGTAACCATCATCCACGTCCAGAAACAGAATATAATAGTACCCCTGAAGCCCTTCCATTTCTAGCCCTATTCCACAAGAGTGGGCACTATCCTGGCGTCTAACAAATAAATTAGTTTTTGCTTGTTTGCAACTGTGTACAATTGGAATCATTCAGTATGTTCTCATTTGTGGCTGTCTTCCTTCATTCACTATTGTGATTATGAGAGCTGCTTGTGTTGTTTTCTATAATTGCAGTTTATTCATTCTCACTGATGTGTAATATTCCATTGTGTGAATATCTCATTATTATCCATTTGACAGTTTTGGATGTTTAGGTTGTTTCTGAAATTTGGCTATTATGAATTGTGCTGCTGTGAACATGTTAGTATTTGTCTTTTGGTTACCATATATACACATTTCTGTTGGTTATCCACCTAGAAGTGGAATTGCTAGATCATGATGTATTCATGTTTCATACATTTTGGTGGCTATTTTATCCTTTAGACTTATGCAGCTTAAATGAAAATGTAGCTTCTCTAGCTTTATGACCATCTTAAGTCTTATCATGGGAACAGATCTTGAAATACAGTGTTTATTACTATAATAAAAATGCATATCTAACTTCTAGATATAGAGCTACATGAGGTTCACTCTATAATTGAACTTGGTTTTGAAAATACCAAAATGTTAAGAATAGCTATTTATTCTCAGAATATAATTTTTCCAAGATAGAAGGAAGAAAGTTACCTGCTCATTCAGAGTTAGGTCACTTTCAGAGTTAGATCAGATTCAAGTGATATCTTTGGAGGAAGTTCTGTGATGTCCTACTTTAAAAAACAGCCTTGGAAAACAGCTACAATGAAAGGTAATTCTAAGTGAGAACTTTTGTGCTCTCTCTTGATATATTTAAATGTGAGCTCACTTTGGGCACTTAAAATGTTATTCAATTTATACAAATTTAATGTATATTAATTTTTATCCAGCAAAAATTTACTAATGACCAGTAGACCTTGTCTGTCAGTGATATGAGTATGAAAATAAGTCCTGATTCAAAATTTAATGTTCTAGCCTTCTGAGTAAAACAAAGAGAATTTATTTTGCCACACATAGGTACCTAAGTATAACATTGTTTCTTGATTTAAAAAAAAAGAAAAAATAACATTATGAGACATATTTGGAACTAAATCTGAATTATGATATGACAAGATAATGGGCAAAGTAAACAATCTATTAGTATGTTCAAATTTTAAAATTTAGCAAACTGATGGCCGTCAATAAGATTTAACAATAGAAAAATCTGTTTTGTATTTAATTTTCCTCAGTTAGTTGAGTTTTGTTGCTGAGTAGTGGGTATGCTGTTAAAGATTGTTAGCCTGTACTATTTCTTAAGTAATTTTTTATTTTTTAAGTTAGAGAAAGAATGTTTTGATGTAATCACAGTGATACGGACTAGCAAAATAAAATGAGTAAAAAATACGTTTCACAAAATATTTTATAATGATCTGTCAAACTCTTATGGTTTTTATTTTTCAATTTTAGTTTTTAATGATTTAATGCAAAGTAGTAATCAAATTTGATAAGTTACTTTTAAAATTCCATTTGTATTTTGTCTATGTTTTCACAAGTGGCATTTCCAATTATTTGGATTAATTGGGTTGGACTCAACTCAAATAATTCGAGTTATGTCCCCTTGAGTAGTTACTGTATCACGTATACAGTGAATTGTGAACTCTAATCTCTGTCTAAACAAGGCACCATCAAAGTCCTACCCTTCTAGTTCTCAGCATGTTATTAGGTTAGTGCAGATAATGCTAAAGTTTAAAAATATTAGGTCTTGGTGAAATTTTATCAGGCAAGGTTTCAATGTTGGAAATGTGACAAAAGATCCTCACTTACCCTTTAAGATAATGTCATTATATATTCTCTAGTAACACTTTTCCAACAAAGAGTTTTGAAAGCATTTTGTTCGTTGGCTGTTAAAGGGCTACCATATTTAGTAATAATTCTTTTTTATTAAAAAAAAAAAACAACATTAAAGAGGCCAGCCTGGTGGCATAGTGGTTAAGTTTGTGTGCTCCACTTCAGCGCCGTGGGGTTTGAAGGTTCAGATCCTGGGTGTGGACCTAGCACCGCTCATCAGGCCATGCTGTGGCGGCATCCCACATAAAATAGAGGAAAGTTGGCACAGATGTTAGCTCAGCAACGATCTTCTTCAAGCAAAAAGGGGAAGATTGGTAACAGATGTTAGCTCAGGGCCAATCTTCCTCACACACACACACACACACACAAAACCCAAAAAACAAAAATCAATGGCTTTCATATTGATACTGACAAAATGTGTACATAATTTTATTCCACATGATAACAATTCTGAGTAGTAATAGTCCATTCTATTGACCTGAGGAGGATTAAGTGCCTGAGAGGTGGTTTTATTGTTTTGTTTTATGTGAAATAGAGAAAATATGAAGTACGCAGGATGAATTTGACAAGTATGGTGATATAGTATGATAATGTTTATAAGTTTGTATTTATATTTTCGTTGGTACTTTGTAGATTGCTTTACCAAATAGGCAATACGCTTGTAGAACTTAAATATTGTTATGCAATTGACAGGGTGTTTTGTTATTTCTTGGATAGAATATAATTATGCTCATTTATATCAGCATTTATGGAAATTCATGTTTTGTGATTGTAGTCTCAGCACCAAATTAAGACACCAAGCCGAATTTTTAGAACACCCAATCAAACTTGAATCTTGAATACAGCTTCATTTTTTGCTCACCTATAGACTTTTAGCCATTTTCATAGCTTTACACCAATCAATGCCATTAAAGCCTATTTCCTCCCCTGGCCCTTCCTAAACTACTGTTTAGTGTAACACATGAGCCACCTTGACTTAGTTTAACCCCCTCCTGATAGCCATTTGAGAGATATGGAGGTAAAAAGAATAACAACTTTATCTTGTAGTAGAGGACCCAAGACAGAAAATCACAGATATGTAAGGATGAATGGAATACATTCCGTTAAATTTTAGGAAGAAGTAGCTGGATGCATGCCTAGGAAAGAGGCTTTGGGGGAATCTGGGAAAGCTTCTTGGAGGAGGTACCTTTCCAGACATTTCTTAAAGGAGATTATGACCTGAATGGGGGTGGATGGGTGGAAGGAGCCTTCCAAGAGCTGGAAAAGTAAAGGCTGTGAGTGGAGAATTACAATAGCTTCTTTGGTTCCCATAGATGATTTATGAAGGAGATCGGGGGAGAAAAATGGAAAGGTTAGGTGAAAGTTATATCATGGAGAGTTTTAAGTGTGATAACTGGATGAGTTTATCCTACAGTCCGCAGAGTCATTGATCATTTCTGAGAGAGTATAATCAGACTGATGCCTTAGGACGGAGTTTCACGCAATTCAAGCTACGTTGCAAGGTAGGCTTGGGAAAGAAGATCTCTGATTAATTTCTTCTTCTGTTTTTAAGCTTGTTGCCTTATGTCTTGCATCCTCTTGTGGCCAAGGCATGTATCACAAACAAAGTTAACATGATCACTGCAAGCTACATAACACCAGCACTCAAAGAGTTAGAAAAGAGGTAAGTGTCAGTCATTTTCAACAAAGTAGCACCATGGCATTATTTTTATTTTATATCCAGCTTTTCCTTCCTCCTCTTTCCGCCTATTGTAGTGTGTCAGATGCTGGCATCACAGTCATTGGCGAATTGGGATTGGACCCTGGTCTTGATCATATGTTGGCAATGGAGACAATAGATAAGGCCAAAGAAGTGGGAGCCACGGTGAGCCCAATTTACATCCAAAAGTCCATTTAGGGAAATGTTAAAAGGTCTAGACTTTTGTGTACAGAAATAATCTTTCTGTAATTTTGATTAAAGAAGCTGCTATATTCTAACCCCTACTTTTGGCAGGAAATTTCAAGTAAAATTTTGTAACTGTGGAAATATTTGTATGGTAAAACAATGTCCAAGTCTTAACAATAAATTTTTAGAGAAATAGATGCTACCATAATATAATATTCTTTAATAAAAGAATTTAGACTGCCTTAGAGATAAGGTTTGACTTTTAAAAGTGGGAAAAATTCTTTGGAATATCGTTAATCTGTTGGCAATGAAGTATCTTTTACATATGAGAAGGAAATGTTGGATATGAAAGTGTGATGAATCAAATTAAATGTTTCAGGTTATATATATGTAGTATATATAATCAAATATAGAATAAACTAATTATAATTATATATTGATTAATTAACACTAATCATAATTATATATTATAATATATAATCAAATTATAATCAAATATGTAATTTGAATACCAAAGTCAAGAGGAATTGACCAAGCAGAATTGAACTAATAGTTGGATTTTTAGCTAATGTTAGTCACAATCTCTAGAGGGCTTTTAAAAAATGCATATATATCAAATATGACTGTGACTGATCAAGGATGTATTTGGCATTAAGGATGTATTTTTGAAAGCCTTAGTAACTTTAAGAAAGGAAAAACTGTAGCAAGTTTCCTTCACTTGTGTCAATGTACTCAATTAATTATTTAGATAAGTTATTCTCCCTAATTTATTGTTAATTCTCGCTAATTTATTGATTCTTTAATTTCAGATTGAATCTTACGTTTCCTACTGTGGGGGGCTTCCAGCCCCTGAGCATTCGGACAATCCTTTGCGATACAAGTTTAGCTGGAGTCCCGTGGGAGTTTTGATGAACATCATGCAGCCTGCCACCTATCTGCTCAATGGCAAGGTGAAGGAGCCTCATCACAGCTTTAGAGACATGAACCTGCAATCCCTGCCTAAGAAAGTCCAAACTCTCTCACCCAAAACCAAGGCCCTTTCGCCATGGCTGTGCTGCTTGTCCTCCGCTCTCTCCTTCTGCGCTGTTTCCCAGTGTACAATTTCTGTTCCATTTGCTGTGGTCTCCTCACCACTCCCAGCAAAGCCTGTGCTTGTTCTTTCCTCTTTGCCTTCTTGGCAATTTGTTTCTGCAATTTGCAAACTCACTTCTCATCTTCTCTGCATGTGTAAAGTTTCTTGCAATTTATTTCAGCATGATAGACATTTACTGAGTCCCCACTATGTGCTGGACTTGGGACAAGGGACCAAAGGTTGTCACCCTGAATGAAATTCCTGACCTCGGAGAACTCACAGCTGGAATGAGGGTAGCTCTTAGAATAGAAGGTTTAGTGGGTCGGGGGAAGAAACTAAGCTTTCTTTCCCAGCTGCTGTGCACCAGAATAGAAGAGCTCTTGAAGCTTAGTATTATTTTCATCATTTTACAACAGGGAAACTGTGGCTCAAAGAGAATGTTTAAGATCGTTCTGCTGGCATTCAAACCCTGGTCTCACTAACTCCAAAGACTTTTCTTTCCCCTTTGACCAGATCGCCTCATGGCGGGAAAGACAGACACTGGAATAAATAGCTATAATCCAATGAGAGAATTTCCTAAGTTTGCTAAAGTGCCACACAATACAGTTGAGAGGGCAACTGATTTGACCTTGATGGAGTTGGGAGGAGGAAAATTAGCAGAGAAGACAAGATGTGCTCATCCTCGAAGGCTAAGAAGGTGCCAGCTGGGATGCTGCCATTCATGACTATGCTAAGCAGTGACTTCATTTGATTCTTACAACCCTGTCAGGTTTATAAAGGAGAAAGCAGGCATAAGAAGCTTGGCTAACTCAGCCGCAGTTAGAGAAATCCCAAGTGGCACAGCCAGTATCCAAATCAGATCTGTCTGCCTTCATAGTTTATCCTCTTAACTGTGAGGGAAGACTCATGTTTGGGAAGAAACATGACCAGACGGAAGGCTTCTCTTTAAATTTTGAGTCCTAGGCACCTCCCTCAGCTCACCCTTGTCTCCGCCCTGCAGGGAGTGATGAGTTATGCGATCAGTTGTGTGTTTTAAATAGGTTATTCTGGAAGCAGTATTATAGATTCTTAGTGTATCTGTGAATCAAAATATATTTTGCGTACAAATGAGCAAAATGAAAGAATTTCTTTAGAAACAAGGTGAATGCTATTATCAGCCGTTGTCGTCTGTGCCTATGATGTAGAGTGTGGCCCACGGCCTTGGCTGCACATGGGGATCACCAGGGCAGTTTAAAAACTACTGATGTCTTGGTCTCCTCCTGAGAGATTCTGATTCGTCTGGGTTTTGGGATCTTTAAAAATTCCCCAAGTGATTCTCATGTGCAGGTGGATTTGAGAACTGATGTAGTCAGCAGAGGACCACAGCTGCACTTAAAACTCTACTAAACAAGCAGGACACTTGAATTTGATGCTGGAAAGATATATTCACATGTTTCAGCATAAGAAACAGGACCCCAGAGTTCTGGTCCAAGTGCTGGCATCCCTCACAGTGTCACCAAAGGCCGGGCCTGGGCATCAGCCTCCTGATGTGTGATGTGGGCACTTAGATTTCATCCAGTTCCTTAATTCTATGCATCAAGAAGCTTTGGCCTAGAAACTGCCTGATTTTCTACCAGGCACACATCTTTTTATATGCTACAGCCTATCTCCGGTTGCATTTCAACAGCTCCTTCCCCCTTCTGCAGTCGTGGAAAAGAGACTGGCCAATGTTTGGTATCAGTTAACATGCAGGAAAACTTTTTGCTTCAGTTGGGCAAAATGCTTATTTTCAGGAGACCATATAAATGATAAAGATGATAACAATGAAGGAGTCAGCAGAGTGCAACCCGTGCAACAGAAAGAGCAAGGGATTTGTTGTCAGTGGGCCTGGCTTCGTGCTCCAGCTCTGCCAGTGTGGCTGGGTGGCACTAGAACAGCCATTTAATCTCTCTGAGCTTGGGCTTCTTGTCTGAAGATAAGCATGATCATACCACCTCGCAAGCTTCTTGCAGTAGGGCTCGATGATCTGTGTTACAATTGTCAAGTGTGTCATAAGTCCCTAGCAAATATTAGCTACATAAAGAAATTGAAGGTGGTGAGAGCTCAGGAAAAGCAAGAGGTGATTTTGAGGCAGCAGAAGTTGTTGTTGTTGAATTTGAAGTTTTTCCCTTTCATCCTGAACTCCTTTTGTAAAAAAGAGTGCTTTTTGCATCTCCCTGACACTGTGAAGAACACCAACAGAAAACACGATGCTTTGCTTTTCTTTGCTAAAATGATACTTTTTTCAAGGTCCTGCTCAAGTTTCCTCTTGTGGATGCAGCTTTTCCTGACCCTTCCAGCCCCCGTTCACTATCCTTTTGTCTGAACTCCCACACTTCGATGGGCTGTGTCTAAGAATTTTCCAAATGCTGTATCATTCACTCAGTAATTCAAGTGTATCAGACTGTCTCCCAACCCAGATTGTTAAACTTCTTAAAGCTTCTCTTTTATTCTCGTCCCTCCATCCCCTCTGCCACCATCACCCTCCACCATGGAGCAGGTCTTATATAATTCACAGAATCATAACAGAGGAACCAGGTGAACTCTCTGACTTCTGCTTAAAGTTGAAGACAAACTTTTCCAGCAACTTAGGCCTATGAATTAGGATGTGTCTCATTGTCCTACGTCCTTGTAGTAATTTCCAGCCACTGGTACTATTTCTAATTTATAACTTCTAATCCTAATTCTAATGAATCTGATTTCCTTCTTCATATTTGGACACAGAGATCATGTCTCTCTTAGTTCTGTTCCCTCCATGGGTGATGGGACATTGGTGGCACCAGGGCGTGACATGGCAGAGCTTTGTCATCTCCTTCAGCCTCCTCTCCCAAGCTACTCAAAGCTAACCAAATACTCTTAAGGAAGGATCATGCTTGCTCTGCGAACACAGCTCTGAGATGGGTTTTCTAGCTCTTTGCCATTGCCTGCCTTAGCTTGGCTGCCACACCCAGCCCCTCCTTTGTAGGAAATCAAGAGCTGCTGCTCTCTCTGTTGCCTGCAACCATTCTTAACGCAATTTTCAGGTGCATCATTGGTGGTATAATCTGGAATGCTGTATCTTGTCAATCAATATCCTTCTCAAAAACTGATCTACAAATAAGCACTATTAAGGGGACAGTATGGTATTGTAGAAAGAACATGGACATTGGAGTCAGATAGGCCCGGACTCAAATCCGCCTCTGGGTGACTCTTTCAGCCTCAGTTTTCACCTCTGAAAAGTGGGTTGTTACATGGATTAAAAGTCATATATATATAAGGCACCTGGCACACAGTGGGCCCTGAATAAATGATTGTCTGTGTATTTCCTGTGTTGGTTAGTTTAGCAATCAACCTTATTGTGAGTGATTCTCTGTGGTTGGGAGACGTGTGGGTGTAGGTGCGGGTGCATGTGTGGGGAAAAGGGTTGGATTCGGAGCAGCCTGCCACAGCAGTGAGTAATGAGCCAGTCTTTCTGCTGAGAGTGGGTTTGGGGGTGAGCATTGTCAAGTCAGAAAAAAAATACATATTCTCTTCCAAATAGATAAATATCTATCTTCATCCAAGTCATTAATAAAATACTAAACAGGACAGGGCTTATTAATGAACCCCGTGATATGTCACTAGAAATGCAACTTTGAGTTGATATCAAATGATGATGATTATCCAGTAATTTTGGGGTCCGGTTGCATCTGCAGCTGTCACTCACTCTAAATGAATCGTTACCATTCAGCTTACTTTTGCCTATTTTTTTCACAAAGCTCTCCAGATAGATTTATGAACCACTTGATTTATTTCTGATTAGTAAAGTGCTAGAATATAGTAGTCTTTACTGAATTGTTCTTTAAAGAAATGTCCTAACCTTCAAACAAGTAAACAAAACTTTAGAATTGCCATAGGTTAGAGAAGTGAGATGGGTGTGGAGAGAGACCCTAAAGGTTAACATTTACCTTCTTGTTAGATTTCTTTAGAAATTTAGAATCCTGAGAGAAGGAATTGGTTTTAAAGAAGTAGTGCAGAAGTGGTCCCTCTGGAAATGTTTGCTGTGCAGTCCAGAAGAGTTTCATAAGAAAATTAAATGAAAAGCATTCCTCACTTCCCTCAGATTCCAACTCTTGGAATTTTAGATAGTGTTGACATTCTGCAAAATGAGCCTTTTAACCGGAGAGCTGTGGCCAGACCTGACATTGCAGTCAGCATCATAGCCCATTTCCTCCTGAGGCATCAGATACATATACATACGCTTCCGTTTTCTCCCTCATACCAAGGCACGTGCAGAACTCATCCACAAATAAACTCTGGGAATCTTTAAGTTTAGGCAAAGACTCCTTTGGGTGAATTCCTCAGAATCCGTCTGAACGGCATTGGCAGCTCCCTCGTACATTGTTTTGTGTACCTTTAGATGTGGTCAGAAATTGTTCACAGTGGTGCAAACAGGACACAGTTCAGTTCACCAGCAGCCCCAACCAGAATCCTCAGCCCTGATTTTATCACTCCAGAATGTTTTCCATTATTTCAGGGATGATCATAAACCTCAGATACTAAAAGAAAAATTTAATCCTTTAATCAAAATTAAAGGAAAAAAATGCCTCACTGCATTTTGAGTGTGTGTGCTGGGGGGAGGGGTGTGGGTAAGAGGAGTACTGAGCAACCAGAAGAAGTTGGGAGTTGATGTAACTTCTCACATCAGGAAGATCACGGGGTAGCACTTTTTTGAGTTTCACCATATGTTCATTGCGTTGTCGTTGTTGTGAGGGGAGATCTCCCTTCCTCCTGGTCCCCAACATGCACCATAGGTTGTCTAGTCCAGGGTGTGAGCTCCTTATAGTTGCTGTAGCACAGCTCCTGGTGCTTGGTAGACAGTCAATGAATAAAGGAGGGAGTGGAAACAGAAATTGTATCGTATTCATCACTCTCCTTACTCCCTCCACAGTGAGTGTGATCCCTGGCACCTACAGAGTCGGTGCTCCATAAATGCTAGCCGTGCGAGTGAAATGTACAAGACTGGTGCCTGACGTGACATTCAGAAGCGGGTGGGAGTAAAGAAAAAGAACAGAGTGAGAATATTGCTATTGCTATTTGAGCATAGCAAGCATTCATCTGTTGCTTTTAGCTTATTATTTATTTAAAAACAAAACAGAAATGTAGTGGAACATAATTCAGTACCATCTTATCTAGGGGCAGGAAAAAATAGAAAAGATCTTGGTAAAAAATGAAATGCTTTAATCAGATTTTAAAGCTTGGGAGAACAGTAGCCTTGTGAATTATGATTAGTTGAACAGCTTGAGTATGGGATGCTGATTCTGGTAATTTCATTAACAATTTTTTTTCCAAATCCTCTATGCTTTCTTTTAAAACTTTAATGTCTTTATTGTGCAAATAATGCAGATAAACGCAAAAGGGAACAGATTGCTGTAACCCCACGTGTGTCTTCTCAATGTGTTCCTCAGGTTGTGAATGTTGCAGGCGGGGGCTCATTTCTTGATGTGGTTACTCCCATGGATTATTTCCCCGGATTAAATTTGGAAGGCTATCCCAACAGAGACAGTACAAAATATGCTGAGATCTATGGCATTCCGTCTGCTCACACGTTGTTGCGGGGGACGCTGAGATATAAGGTAAGTGACTGTGCTTTACATGAAGTATGTTGCCTGTTTCCATGCAAGTGATGTGTACCCTTAATTTTTCTTAGTAATCAGAATAATTAAGATGATAAACCAGGTTGGGGTCTATTTTCTGAGGACCCTCTTGATTGAATGTTTTAGGGGACAACTCAAAATGGCTTGAGCATAAAGGGAATCTTTGACTCATGAGGAGTAGGGGGCAGACGAAGGGCCAGCTTCAGGTATGGTGAGATTTGGGGGTCACATGACCTCAATGGGACTTGGTTTCTCCTCACCTCTTGGCTCTCCCTTCAAGTATTGGCGGCAGTCTTAGGCTCCACACAGTGGCAAGATGGTGGCAGCAACTCCAGCCTCTTAGGTTCAAATCCAGTGAGAATAAAAAAGAAAGTCTTCTTTATAGCTAGAAATATAATTTCTGTCTCATTAGCCCCTGAGGTCAGTGGGATAAAATGTGCCAATCTGCTTTGGCCTCTGTTTTATGTCCCTAAGGTTGAAGATGAGGTGAGCGTCACTTTTCTCACAAAGCAATCTAAAATGTTTTTACCACAAAATGGTGTGTAGATTCTAGAAGCATAAATATAAATGTCCACTGCACATTTATTAACCACAAAAGAGTAGTTCAAGTATGACCAGAGCAAATCAGTGTAATAGTTTTCTAGCACTATTATAACAAGTTACTACAAACTGAGTGGCGTAAAACAACAAATTTATTGTCTCACCACTCAGGAGGCCAGGAATCTGAAGTCAAAGTGTGGGTAGGGTTGGTACCTTCTGGAAGCTTTGAGGGGGAAACTGTCCCATGCCTCTCTCCTAGCTTCTGGTAGTTGCCAGCGATTCCTGGTGTTCTTTAACTTGTAGACACACGGGTCCAATCTCTGCCTCTATCTCCGTATCACCTTCTTCTGTTTGTCTGACTGTGTCCTCTCCTCTTCTTATAAGGACGCCAGTCACTGCATTTAGGGCCCACCCTCCCCAGATTAATTTCACATCAAGATCCAAATAAGGTCATATTCTGAGGTTCTGGGTGGTCGTGAATTGTAAGAGAGATGTTACTCGACCCACTACAACCAGCTACATCTCTCAGAATCAGAGATCTGATTTCAGATCTCTCTGTCCTGTGAGATTTCCTGGCTGGGGCCTGAGAAGGGATTTGTCTTGTGTGTCTATTGAGTATTTACTAATTTTTTTACTTTTTCTGGAAGATGTAAGACGCAGGGGCCCCTCAGTGATAACCTTTCAATTCTGTGCATGCTTTCTCCTTCTCTTCCCTTTTCACTGGCTCTTACCTTTGCCTGGAACATTTCCCCCAGGTATCTGCACCACTCTCCTTCAGCTCCTTCAGGACTTTGTTCTCAATAAGGCTTTCCATACCATGGAATTGAAAATCACAGCTCCCTCCTCTGGGACGTTTCCCATCCCCCTTCCCTACATGAGGTAGGCAGCAGAAAGCAGTGAACACTGCTGGTGTTATTCATGTGTGACAGGGAATAACTGAAAAAAACTACTGTAAGAGCAGAGGTTATTTGCACAGTGTAGGCACAGGACAGACCAACTTCTGGTTTGCCTCATTTCTCTGTGTCTAACACCTATTTATTCTTATAAAGAAGACAACCACTATATCTCTTACTCTTTAGAGCTTCTATTGCATTTTTTGGCACCTAGCATTTACATCCCAGCATTTTTAGTTAGATTTATATATATATTTTTCTTGTCTCCCGAAATAGATTTTAAGCTCCTGGAGGGCGGGTACCTCTACTCTCATGAATGTGACGTTCTCACTGTCCAGGAATCAAATGAGATGTCAGTGATAACATCCTAAGGAGATCTAGGAAGCTGGGATGTTCTACGAGCCTTCAGGCACAGCAGAGATTCTAGCGTGAGTTGAAGCCAAACCATCCCCAGCTCTGGCAGATTTCTTAATTCTGTTTTCTTCAATTTGTTCTAAGAGTATAAGTAGTAACTTTTTGGGGGGAGTTTAGGAATTAGGATTTCCTGCTAGTGTTAGGTATAGTGTCTTTCCAAACATATAGACCCAGGAATTGAAGGCTTCGAGAGATTTAAAAATTGAATAAGCTCTCAAGAATGTGGATAGATGAGAGGCATCCCCACAGATTCCTGGAGGATGGAAGATGTGACAGTGTTCATATCCATGAAGGCCACCATCCTGAGCAATGTCAGCAATCTTTCAGTGACTGGAATATTCTTTCCCGTATTGGAGATGAGGCACTATCATCAAAGGATGACAGGGAGACTCTTGTCTTGGCTGCTCTCCTGTACCTGCCTGTCACTTGCTTGTCCTTCCAGACCCAGCTTGATATCACCTTCCCCAGGGGTCTTTCCTGACTCCTTCTCCTTGACTCCCCTCCCCCACATCTATGTGAGTTTCTCCTCCTCTGTGTCCCCATAGCTCTGTGTTTGCCCGTGTCATAGCACCTATAATATTCTACTGAATTGTGGTCATCAGGGGTCATGTCGTTTTGCTCACTGTGTGCCAGGCAGTATCTGTTTGACTTATCTGACCCTTTTACTGGACGACAGTTTCTTCATGGGTGGGGACTGCATTTTTCATCTCTGTGGCCTCAGTTGCAGCGTAAGTCTGACACATGGCAGCAGTTGGCTAACTGCTTATGGATGAATGAATACACACAATAAATTCATTTCTAGAGGCCACTGAAAAAACTGTATAATCTGCTCACCATTTTCTGAGATTAAGAAATAGAAAATGTCTCAGTGTTTGAGATGTCAGATGAAGGGACCTTTGGCACTTGTCAGGTCTTAGATGCAAGCTGGGGGTATTGCTTTTTTGTTTTTCCTCTTTAAAGTGTATTTACATTGGGTTAGAGCAAGTAAATGTGAATTCTTTACTTAGTAACCTTTGAACAGTTTGAATAATACAACCTTTCAGAAATGTGAAAATTACTAGTTGACCACACATTAAGTGGTGAAATAACCAATGACTACAGGAAGTATTTTATATTTTAATAACTTTATTGCTTCCTAAAATAATTTCCTGCCCTTCTCCTCCTCTTTGTCCTCCTCCTCCTTCTTTTCTTTCTCTCTCTCAGTAGTTGCAGCAACTACAAAGCCCCTTATTTGGGCCTTCCCACTTCCCCCCTGATTTGCTCACAGGGGGAACATGCTGTTGTGGTCTTCCTTCACGTCATCGTCATTTGATCTCTTTCAGCATACTGGAATGCTGGATAATGGGGTGAGGGCGTGGGGGTGAAGGACACTCATGCACACACTTTCTAGACTTACAGTCCAGTAGCACTTGTGTTAAGTGCTGTGATAGAGTATGTACAAAACGCTACAGAAGTACAGAGAGGAAGAGAGTGCCCATTCAGCTAGGGGGCTCGGTAGGTATGCTGAGCTGGGCCTTAAGGGAGGAGTAAACATTTTATGGGCGAGGAAAGGTGGCTACCACGTTCCAGGCACAGGAGCAGCATGCACGGAGGCCCAGGTCTCTGGAAGAGCACAGCATGTTCGGGGCATGGTGAGTGGTAGAAATGGTGATTAATGAGTCAGGCTGGAGGGGCATGTTGTGGTGGGTTTTATATAATATGCCAAGGACTTCAGACTTGTTCTGTAGACAATGAAGGACCCATGTGGAATTTTTATCAGAGTGATGACATTTTAGAAAAATTTCTCTGTTTTTTTTCCTGCTCCCTAAGTGCATTAGGATAGTGATTTTTAATCAGTAGAATGAATAGAATGAATGAATTCTCTGCTTTTGGGGCAGTAGTCTTACAAGGTCCTTCTTCCTTTATAAGAGAGAGAACAACTGTTCTATTAAATACTACTCTGCTGAACTGAAAGCATAAAACACAAGAGGAAATGTGCCCTTACGCTGTCAGAAAATACCACTCACATGTAATCCTGAAACAGAAGTAAAGACCCAAGTTTTGCAAGGTCTCTTATGTATACCTGTGGAATTGTGACACTGCTGATTTTGGTTTGAACCTGAAGGTGGTTGCATCCATAATAGTAATACAAATGACTGTTTTCAACCTGTTTGCTAAATGAGTTACAAAGATAGATCCTTCTTTTGAAAAAAAGCTTTTTAATTTTTTTTCTTTGAAGAGAAAATTTTCATATACTGCTTAACAATTCTTGTTAACAGGGATATGCCAAAGCCTTGAATGGATTTGTAAAATTGGGTCTTTTAAATAGAGATACATTTCCTGCCCTTCGACCTGAGGCCAACCCTGTCACCTGGGTAAGTGACTCCAGAATTATACATTGTCTGCTGCTCTTCAGAAATGCCTTCTGAAATGGTCAGGTTTGAACTTTGGTTTGGACCAGCAGAAGAACACATTCTGTGGCTTATGTGCGGGAAGATAAACCCTAACCCGAAAGTCCTCTTTCCCTTCACCTTATGGGAGGATGGAGAGGACATGGAGGTGACTCACCTGTTTCCTGCAGTGACTGCTACTACAGTCCTGGGGACAGCTGCACTTGCTCTCTGTATTGAGCTCTGGGCTCTGCCACTTGTCTAAGTGGTAACCCAGTGATAGGAGCTAAGCTTGGGCCTCCTGAAACTGATACTGCAGGAGAACTGCTGTTGGTGTCAAAGAACTGGATTCCCAGCCCCCGAATCCCATCACTTCTTTCATTTGGCCATTTGTTACCATGAGTAATTTGTTTTCAATTACTGAGTTTATGTCCATATCTGTGTTGTATGAAATCCTAGAGTCACAGGGTTGGAAGGGACTTTGGAGGCTTGGACTGAACGTAAAGTAGGGCTTCCACTAACTGCCAGGAATTAGCTTGTTATGAGCTGATCTCTAAGTTAAATTAATGTGCCTATATTCCAGCGGAAATGCTAGATATTTATCACAAGGAGAAAAGGATCAATATTGCTCATCCCAGTGAGTCTCCCAAAGAAACTTTGGTATTCTTGCTAGCTAGTTGCTTTTAATTTCAGTTTACTGTGTATCTGAGAGCCTTTCCAAACTAAATTTTACCTTTCATAAATGTACTTGTTGGACAGGAGTGAATAAGTCTCTATAGAGTGAACCTGAGGTTGAGGCAGCTGGATTAGGAAGGTGGGTGCAGGCATTCTTGGGGCTGGTCCCAGTATCTTGGTAGCTACAGTCTAGAACTGGGGATGGCAAACTTTTCTTTGGTAAAAGTCCGTATTGTAAATATATTAGGCTTTATGGGCCTTACGGTCTCTGTCAGATTACTCAATTCTGCCGTAGAAAATACATACACAAATGAGCATGGCTATGTTCCAATAAAATGTTTTATTTATAAAACCAGGTAGTGAGCTAAATTTGGCCTCTGAACCAGTTTGTTGATCCTTAATCTAAAGCATGACTTTTTCCTTGAGAGCCTGTAAAAATGTTTTGTTCAGAAAGCAGAGAAAAAGCTACGACCACTGTTTAAGTGTTCTTCCTTTGAGATTTTATTATCCACAAAGTCTTTCTCATCTCTTAAATCTACAGAAGAACTCTGGTTGCTACTGGCAACCATAGTAATCAGCTCCTTCCACTTTGTCCTGGCCAGAATGGACTGCTGGGGGGTGAGGGAGAATGGATGAAAAAGTGATGGAGAGGACATGAAAAGGCAGGAAATGTGATGGTAAATATGGTACCATCTGTTTAGTATTGATTTGGTGTTATGATCCATTTTTGTTGCTGAAATATCACTTTGGAATACCTTGCATTTATTGGTGTGTGGGTGTGCAACATGTGTATGCACATGTATGTGTTATAATTTACTATTTCTGATTATTTCTAATTTAAAATTTGAGGTGCATTTGAGGTCCAAAGTCTTAGTAGGATAATTTCTCAATTTATTTTTTATTTTATAAGGGACTTAGAATTTTTATCTTTATTTTTTAACCAGAAAGAACTCCTCTGTGATCTAGTTGGAATTTCACCCTCCTCCAAGCATGATGTGCTTAAGGAAGCTGTCTTTAAGAAACTGGGAGATGATACCCAGCTGGAGGCTGCTGAATGGTAGGCACCTGCCAATCAACTAAGAGAAAATATTGGATCAATGATTACTTAGTCCTTTCTAGTCAAAGAAAGGTCAAGACAGAACCAAACATTTTACATTGCCTTTGATTAATTTGCTGCTCTGATGTTGGCCCGTTGTAGAGAGATTACCATGTACCATGGGCATGTGGGGATAAAAAGTTAGATAAAGAGAGAAATTCAATGGCAGTCACAACTTGGGAAAGACTTATTTTGAGACACTTTACTACACAGTTTTTGAGAAAGGTGGGATATTTTTTCTCTCCTGGAGGAGATTCTCCCAGTCTTTCTCCAACGACTTTAAAACACTCATTCACATGGCTGTGGCACATTATGCTGGTATCCTTAACATGGGAGAACAAACCTGTAAATTAAACTCGTAGAAAGCTTGCAACTGTGTGGATTTACAATGTGTTAGTTCTGCTCCAAGGAGCACTGCCTTGGGGATCCTGGGGATAATTCTAAAGGTTAAAACACTACTAGTGTTATTGTTATATTTTACAGTTTAGGAGAGTCCTATAACTTAACTTGGACTGTCACCTTGTGATTCTGCCCTTTCAAGATAAAATCCAAGGAGCTCCCTTCTTCTTCCAAGTGAGAATATGCATAGGACTAAACTAATGCAGCCATCTCTTGTGCTCCTCAGGTTGGGCTTACTTGGGGATGAACAAGTCCCTCAGGCGGAGTCTGTTGTGGATGCGCTCTCCAAGCATTTGGCCATGAAACTTTCCTATGGTAGGCTACGGTGTATTAGCTAAGCATCCCAGAAGAAGGACCATAAGATGTAGTTACTACAACTAGCGAATTAGATGGAGGGCTGGAACCAAGCAGTAGGATTGGAGAAGTATAATATGAGGGAAGGAGCACTTGGGCTATTTTTCCAGAGGGAAGAACAAGAGAACTATTAAGTAAGAGTGGACTTGAATAATATGGGAAAGGAAAAAAATATTAGTTTTATTTTAATTTTTCATGCATTAGGGAAATGTTAAAGGAGTGTTCTGGGAGAAAAGTAGGTGGTCTCTACAACAGTGCCCTTGTGTCTATAGCCAGGCCATGGTGATACCAACCTGGCTAGAGGAATGTGATCAGAGTTATAATTTCCTTGAGTTTTCCACTTGTTCTTTGGGGTGGAGAGATGTATTAGATAATTGTCTAAGGACCATAAATAATAGAAGGAGAAGCTTGTGAGAACAGAAGGGCAGGAGCAGGAGATGAAATACAATATTGGAGTTGTGATGATAGTAGCATTTAAACATGTCTTTTATTTGTTTTAAGGCCCTGGAGAGAAAGATATGATTGTGATGAGAGACAGCTTTGGAATCAGACATTCTTCTGGACATTTAGAAAGTAAAACTATTGATCTTGTGGTTTATGGGGACGTCAATGGCTTTTCAGCCATGGCTAAAACTGTGGGGTTACCCACAGCTATGGCGGCCAAGATGTTACTTGATGGTAAGTTCTTTCATTAGAGGACCGAGTCTATCTCCATATCATTTCCAAGTCATTCAGTGCCTGGACATCAAATAATTACTCTTGAGCATGACACTGGCCTTCACTAAAAGTGAGATATCTCAGAAGATCCAAGCCCCGGCTGCCTGGAGGTGACTGGAGGTCACCTTGTGGTGAATGGAGAACATGGGCTTTGGAGTTAGACCTGATTTCTGTCCCAGTTCAGTCACAGGATGGCTGAGTGATGGGGTGCAAACTCTGAGCCAGAGTTTCCCCATTTTTAATGTGGGGATTGTTATCTCTAATTCACAGAGTTGTCGTGACTCTTAAGTGAAATAACACATAAGCGGGCCCGAGGGAAAGTTAACTCCCTTGGTTTCTTTCCTTGTTTTTTTGTATTTTGGGGGTGGTAACACTGAAATAGCAGAGGATATTCACTCCCAGATCTTCAAGACTATAGGCCGTGTTTTATTAATCTTCATACCTCAGCCTATTATCAGTGCTCAAAATATTTTGGACTAAATGATTCAACTTTCAACTTTCTACTTTCCCCTTAAGGTCACAGATACATTCAATAAGTATTACCTCTGAATATAATACCCCATTTGGCTCTTGTGAACCATGGGGGGAGAGAAATCATCAAAGCATATAAATGTACAATAATGAGAAAACATATCCACAGTAGAATATCAGCTAATATCAAATTAAACCACCTGCTTAGTTATTGGGGAGCCACAGTGAAGAAGTACAGTCATGCGCTGTGTAACGATATTTTGGTCAACAACAACAGTGGTCCCATAAGATAGGTATCACGGAGCCTAGGTGTGTAGTGGGCTAACCATCTAGGTCTGTGTAAGTAGAGTCTATGATGTCTGCACAATGACGAAATCATCTAACGACACGTTTCTCAGAAGGTATCTGTGTCGTTAAGCGACATATGACTGTACTAAGGGATGAGGTCACCACGGCCTTTAAGACAAGTGCCCAGACTTACTGTTTCAGTAATCCTAACAGATGCCGGTGCCCAACAAATCAGACTGGTTTTAATTCATTTTGTTGATGTTGTGCTTTTTTTAAAAAAAATAACATCAGCAAATAAAGCAGACCAGTTAGGTTTACTTTACTTTCTTACTGTACTTTATTCTCTGATTGTCTTGGCAGTAGTTAATGTAGTTTAATGTATAAATTCTGACGCTATCCTTAAGTCCAACTGTGTTTTCAATCTAAACCCTTTTCCTTACAGAGTGTTGATGAAGTAATAATTAATCAAAAGTAATAATTTAGTAGGGGACATTTAAGCAGCTATCTTAAAAATGCCTAGGCCTCCAACAATTCATTGACTCTGAGTGTACTGCTGTATGGAGACTCTTGCTGTGGAAATTAACCTTTAATATCACCTTTAAAATGGGAACTACAAATTCATTTTATTCCAGGTGAAATTCAAGCTAAAGGTCTGATGGGGCCCTTTTCGAAGGAGATCTATGGACCAATACTGGAACGAATTAAAGCAGAAGGCATTGTATATACTACACGGAGCACAATCAAACCATAATTGAGAATTATATTTTGTTCTTATCTTTCTAGGCAACACAGCTGTGAACGTTTATGCGACAAACATGCTTGCCAATGTGCTTTTTTAAAG